GGATAACATATTTTATTAAAGTTTATTTTTAATTAAAAAAAATCTAATTGATTTTTAAATTTATAATTTTTAAATCAAATTGATTTAAATGGTCTAAAATCATTATCAATCGTAAAAATTAAAATTTATTTTACAATGCTATAGAAATAATGTATGTCACGATTAATTCATGTTAATTAATTAAATAATATATAATTGTAAAAAAAATAAACTTTTAATGGAATTAACTGTTTTATTAATATTTTAAATTAAGAATTTTATTAAAAACATGACAAAAATGATAATTAATTGATATAAGATTTTAAATTAAAAAATCAAGTCTACTATAAGTTAATATTTGATCGCAAAGTGTGGTTTCAGTTGGAAATAAGTTAATTATAAATGAAGACATAACACAACATAAGTTAGTTTAATAAATATAAACAATTAAACTCTGCTTTGGTTTGTTTCACCAGTTTTTCTTCATTAAAAAATTGATTTTCTTTTCACAACAATCTTAAGGCAATTCATAAAGAAATCATTTGGATGGGGGCTTATGTATGTATATAAGTGGTGTGTGCTTTCAATGTGGGCATTGCATTGGGGTTTGGGCTATAGTTGTGTGTGTGAAATAGCAATCCCAATGCCTGCACCTGTAAATTAATCAGTTAAAGCAATAATAATTGCAATCAAAGCTTCTTTGCAAACCATAATAAAATAGTGAGCGAACCTCAAGAGCTCTGTTATTCTGTTGCTGTGTTGCTCTGTTGCTCTGTTAGCCCGCATTATAACAAGTCTTATAACAAACGCCCCAAACAGTGATCCATCGGAACAAAAGCCAAGTCTGGCTTCTTCTTATGGTTTGTTAGTGTTTGGATCAGTTGCCTGAGCCATACATTGAGGTCAGGCCGAGGTTGGGCTCATAGATTGTTGTTGGATGTATGTGTGTGTTGTAAAAATGTTATAAACATGCACTGGGCGTATGTCGAGTGATTATAATCAACATAACTTATATGCCTGACAGCATTATTAACACATTTCCTACATAAGCAATAAACAACAAATGCCTTACAATCTAATGATTAAACATTTTTTGCAGTTTTTTATATCGCTTTTAAAGCAAGCGGTCCTCTCTCTTACTAATAGATTATTTCACTTTTGCTTCACTTAAGAAAAGACGAGCAAAAAATCAATCACTACTGAAGTTAATTAAAACATCAGTTTTGGCCCAAAACAAGTATATAAGTGAATCAAATTTGAAAACAGCGGGAATTCAACGCTATTTCACTTTAAGTACAATAATCTGTTTCTTTTTGACTCTCTTTGCGGCCCTTTTTTCATTCAATAAACAAATTCATTTCCACTTAGATATGTTTAAAATCAAATATATTTATTATTTTGCTATTTATTGCTGTATAAGATATGATTACTTTACAAACTATATTTCATGACATAGACATTGACGACTTTGAAGCACTGAAATAAGTCTATTGTCTGAAACTTTTGTTGTTTTGACAAATGTTTTAATAAATTTAAAATGAACTGAAAGTTTTTAAGTAAATTATATTTACAAAAAGTGTATATTTTAAACTAATAGTTAGTTAAGTAAAAACAATTTGCAGTATGTATTATATGTTTAAATATTCAATTTTGACTTAACAAGTCTTAATAAGACTTAACTATATGTTGTAAAAAGTAAGGAAAGTAGTGTTCACTATAAGATACGACACAAATATCAATCACTTAAACATTTTGTTTTCTCTACTCTAAAGTCTAAATTGTAGTGTTAGTCATATCATCAGTCTATATATAATAATAGATGGCTAACACAGCGCACAAACAAGTATTTAAATCTAACAACCCTTTAATTGTTTTGCCATTACATGAAATTAGTCGATTTAATGCAAATTTGATGGCTTTTATAATTATTTTTTGCAAACATTATATTAATAAACTGTTTGAGAGAGCAGAGGAAACATTAGTTTTGAGTGCTTAGTAACGTCTGAGAGGAGGTTCGCAATCATTTTGGGTCCAAAACAAACTTTTAAGCTGTCTTTCAATAAATTCATTGTATATAATATATAGTATTATAATATTATATATACTGTATATATATGCTTATAATAAATTCAAACCACGATTTTGTTTGATAGAAATATTGTACTAAACACTAACACTGCGGACAAATGCTATTTCTCTCTCTCTCTCTCTCTCTCTCTCTCTCTCTCTCTCTCTCTCTCTCTTTCAAACACACGCATATATTGTAATAAATATATATATATATATATAAATAGTCAAGCTATGTCATGAAAGTATATTATGTAAGTTTTTAAGCACATTAAATATATATAAATAAATGTTACTTTACTGTGTAAATATTGATGATGATAAACTAGTGAGAGGTATAACATGGTTAATAAGTTTGATAATTTAGATAATTTAATGAGAGAGCGTTGGTTGAAAGCCTCTGGCGATAAACCAATTGTATGCGTCAAATGGATGATCCCTTCAATTATGGCTATGTCTGTATGTCTTTTCCTCTATTTAATGGCCAGTTATGGCATCCATCAGCTCAACAGACATGATAGGCGAGCACTTTAAGCATTTCTCGATAGAGGCAACTGAAAGGTAACTGAAACCTATCATCAAACTAAGTCTCACAAACATTACTCAAAATAAGTCAAACATCATTGAAAAGTCATTGATGTCGAAGTTATGATTGAAATGTTTAAAAATATCAAACAATAATAATAATACAAACAATTCAATAACAACTTTTTATACTTTTTAAATCATAGTTTAAATATTCAATGACTAAACTAATAATCTTATGTTTATATTCTTATTTAATGAGCTTTTAAACTAGATTTGGCTACAAATTAATGCTATAATAAATACATTAAGTTATTTAATAGTTAACATATTTATTATGTTGTTTTGAAAATTCAAATATAAGACATCATTAATATTAATAGTAACAACTCTTTAAGCTTTAATCAAATTTATTATCTCTTTTTTCTTGTATTACATTTTTGTTTTGTTTTTTCCTCAAAAAACAACATTGAAATCACTTTCACCTAAAATTATTATTGAGTTAAACAAATGGTTGTTTGAAATTAATTATGAGTTAACTAAATTATGGGTATAAATGTTAAGATGGGTTTGGTTGGTGGGGCCGGTGGCGCCTTAACCAAACATACCTAAGGCATAGCCAGCAATGAGGGACTCTGGTATAAGTATAACCACTGCTATAGATAACCATTGTAAGCACTGTTAACCAGTATTAGCCACAGTTATAGCCACCATTAGATGGGAGAGTTAGTTATGAGAATAGAGTATTTAATGTCACGATTTCTCTAAAATAAACTTCTTTTGGTAGATATATCTGATTTTTAGCAGTGAAAGCAATGTTTATACTATAAAACTAGTGATTAAAGCATTTGAAAGCATTAACGTTAAGTTGCAGTCAAACTAATGCTCACTTCATTATATTAAATACAAAATATGGATAATATGTTCAATTATATGACGACAACGCAAAAGATAAACACCTGGACTATCAAGTAGTCATAATTGCAGAGTCGGTCATCACTAGCCATACCTATACTACAAAAACAATGACCAAAATGCTGCCCTACAGGCGATTCTCAGACAAAATTATAATATAATCTTTCATAACATGAATCTAATACACGAACCAAACCATACAAAGCAATGCAATGCTTGGGCTTAACCATTGAAAAGCAGGCAAAACACAGGACATGACTATCAAAATCACTTTAAAAAACTTTGAGATAATTATTTAGTTGACTATATTGTGATAAATGTAACGCTTTTGCGCACTCGTATACTATTATATATGATTATATCATTTATTAATGTGTTTGATATGCAACACTACTTCACTACTTTCTCTGACTTTTTTGTGAGTTGTTTTCAAATTAAAACCTTAAGTAACATAAAACAAAAAATTATAGTTAAAAGAAATATTGTGAATATTTGGTGTTGTGTTGGGCTCTTAGGGAACGGCATAACATCACATGCGAACCTTACCAGTGATGGGCTAACAGTAGGAGTTATGTTTGCGCTAACAGTTGCTTACATTAAGTGATATAAATTATCCTAAAATTAAAATTTTCTCTCAACTCATTGCTATACTTTAGCTTTGAATTAAATAAATTATATAATGCTTTCAACTTCACAAACCAAATGCTCTTTTATTTTAATATGTATTGAGTTTTGTTTTATTATGAAAACCATATTTGAAATAAAATATTTTTCACATAATTTGTTAAATTCTTTTTCTTTTCTTTATATAACATATATATATATATATAAAGTTATATTATATTTCAATATTATGATAGATAATAATCAAATTATAATTATAACAATTACCATAATTTGCTTGCAATGACAAGTAATAATATCTTTAAGTTGTAAATTATAACTTATAATTTCATTTCATTTAATTTCATTATAAAAACAATAACTATTTAACTATTTACGTGGTTATTGTATTGATAACACTAATCTTTGTAACTATTTATATCTATAATGATATCTAAATTTTATTATAAATTCATTAGCAAAGCAAGAATAGCTTAAAATGAATACTTTTTTTAAATTGTAAATATTATACAATTGTTTTGCACTGTTGGCTGTCCTATCAATCATTGGTATAAATTAAAGCGTGTAATTAGTCAGAGACTGATTCATAACAATTGCTTGATTTGTTTGACAATCCACACAATAGTCTATCAAATGTACAAATAAATTGTGTGATTCATATAGAAATTGACATCTTTATTGATTAAATTTAAAATAATAGGATTTTTAAAATTATTATTTCTAAATTTAGTTTTAATACATAAACACAATTTACAACATTTGAATAATATGCTTATATATTATACAGTATTTAATTCAAATACAGTATATTTAATTGAATTGCAAAATATGTACCAATAAGTGATTGTCATTTGAATTGGTAGCGCTTATGAAGAAAAATGTTGACATACCTGAACTCTGGACTCAATCAAATCAAGTCTCATAGCGAGTGCTTCTCTCATGAAGACGTCGGGATAATGTGAGGCCTCGAAAGCCTTTTCCAGTTCCTCGAGTTGCCAGCCGTTGAAGTTGGTTCGGGTCCGCCGTCTCTTACTATCTCTACTACTATTGCTATCGGCGCTCGAATGGTTAGAGGCGGCACTACTGGCACTGTTGGGGGGCTCATTCAGATGGTGCTGATTATGGTGTTGATTGTGATGCTGATTGTGATGCTTACTTGAAGCTCGACTCGTGTCCTCTTTCATCGTGCGATTTGTGGCCTCTTTTATTGGACAATGATTTGTTTCGGCTGAATCACCTGCTTGTATATACAATTCAAAATTAATCAATAAACTGCTTAAATATTGATTTATTTAGAAAATAAATGTATTTTTATTATCTGCTAATTGAATGTCTATACAATAAAAATTATACAACAATATTATATTATAAATAATTCAAAAGTTGTTATTTTGATGAGAATATAATTGTGTTTATATATTTTTGAGTGATGTTATATTATTAGAATAGACATAATATACCAAATAGTATAAATACATTACAGTATATAAATTACAATTACATTAGCACTTTATAGTATAATATTCAGGTAATTCTATATATATATTATAATATAATTTGTTTGTATGAATGGATACTTATATTAAGAGTTAATTTAAAACTACATTTAGTCTAAATGTTTTCTTTAACAATATATTTGTTTGTAATATTGTATATCAAATAACTGTTAATATTTTATAAGCTAATAGTTATCTTCAAGCCTTAGGTAAAGATATAAGGGGTGATGAAAGCATGTGTACCACCTCTGGATCACGACTCGGACCATATCTAAGAATATAAGCAATCATTTTAAACTTTTATTGTTTTCTTTAGAGCCTTCATTCACATATCAATTGCAATACTCTTAACAACCATATAATGGTTGCAAACATTTAAATTAGTTTTCTCTACTCAGAGTTGTATGAAATAGAGGAAACCCTTAATTCATATAATTTAGTTTTTTAAAATTACTATTGAATTTGCAAAATGATTTTCTTTGAGTTAATACCAGTATATAAGTAAAAATAAATTTAATATAAATACAGAACAAAATTCGATTATATTTTTCTACAAATTCATTATAACAAACAATTCAATAATGAGTATAACATAAGTGTTAGTTTAAGTGTTGGTCTCAAACTTGACTTAACCTAAGTTTTCCTATTGTCTACCATAACATAATTCCCATTGGTTTTAGTCAATGATTTTATAACCCAAACAATTTCCATAAATGAAAGCATTCAACACAATACATGTATTTTGCACTTTAGTTAACGACTCTCTCTCTCTCTCTCTCTCTCTCTCACACACACACACACATTTTCTCCTAAGTATTAGAAAGTGTAATATTTGTGTCTAATGCGTGATCAGTGATCAGTTGACAATCATTACTATAGTTGTGATGCCAGTGCTCCCGATGCCTGGGCTTACAGTTGCCAAGCAATACAAACTTTGTATAGACTTATAGAAAGATAGTACCGACAGTGTGTGTGAGTATTATTATATAACAAACGGCATTACTATGGGCGAGGTTTACGCATGCAATGCCTAGTATACAAGCAATACCTACCAAAAACTAGTAGACCTAACAAACTAAACACAACCCTAGGCCTGAATAAGGCTTTACTCGATATTGTTGTCATCGTTAAAGTCGTTTAACGACAAATGAGTAGTACAGCGACAATGAGACCTATATTTGCACATTATATATATGCAGTATATATATAATATATATAATATATAAAGACAATATATTAAATAAATTTCAGACTATCTAATAGTGAACACAACATAACAACACTTGTCATCACATATACCTCTAGACTTGTTTCTCTATTTCACTATATATTTGTTTATACAATAATTTATTAATATTTGTTTCCTACGGACAGACATTGTCTCTATAATTTTGTTCATAAAAACTTATCTGCATTTAATTGATTCACATTTAAAGAATATAAATTTGTGCTAATTCTCAGACAATATCACTCGAGTATAACATTTATTATAATAGTTATTATTATTTACTGTATATATAAAAAACTAAATTTTAAACAATCACATTTAAATACAATTGCAATATGACTTATAGGATTGATTCTACAAACAATTCATATTTATCGTGTTTAATGCAATGACCAGAATAACTATAAATATAATAGATTTAATAGATTTAATCATGTATTCAATTGTCAATTTTAAGTAATCAACTTTTCATAATCAATGCACTTTCAAATGAGCTAATTATTGTGAGACTCACTTCACAATACAATTTGGTGACAACGAGTGTAGAATCCACTGTACAGTAAATCACATTATGAGAGATGACGGCAAAACTAAATAGACATTCATTATATTTATATTTAATTTGTCTCTATTTTTCAAAATCCAATAACACTTTTTTAAAATAATAATATTATTATAAATTCTCTAACATATCATTTATACTCTATATATTACATAGTAGTATGTAATGGGGTATTATGTATACTATATACAGTATATACAGAATGTTTATATATTCATTCAATTTATATTTAGATTTTTTTGACAAATACCTTTCACATCACAAATTTATTTCTTTTATTATTATTATTTTTAATAACAATTATTATAGTATTAAAACAAAGACATTAATTATTATAATGTGCTTTTATAGTTAATTGTTATTATAATTTCATTTCATTTTTTTAAGTAGAAAATATCCTCAACATAAATGAAATAGAAATTTTAATATATTGCACAAATGTTTTAGCAATTATATATATAATTATAATACTCAAAGATTTATTTAGCATTAATTTACTTAAAAAGCAATAATAGTTATATTATTATTATATATTTAATAAATTAGTTTATTTTAGTATTAACACAATTTGCAATAATTTAACAAACAAATAAAAAATGTTTTGAACTATAAAAACTTAAAGTCAGTAAATGTTTACAAATAATAAAACTACTGTTTGTTTAAAAAACAAATATAAAAATAAGGTTTTACTCTTAATATAGCTAAGGTGTTAATTATGTTAATAATATTATTATTAATATTCAATAGTATAGCTATTTTTGCATAATTAATATTTATGAGATTACATTTATATAATATAGCTGCTCTTAAAATCAATAAGTCTTATATAAATAATAACAAAAATAACAATTGAGTTTATAATGTTGTAAACCATTGATGTCTCACAATTGATATTATTATAGTATATATGAAAAATAGTCATTATTCACATACATTAAGTTAAATACACAGAATTTATGAATTCAATGATAGAATAATTTTATTTCTATATGTAATTAATGTAATAATTTCATTGTTTTTACAACAAAATAATAAATATTAAGTAAAATAACGTTTTAATAATTAACGTGAGATCATATTAAAATAAATGTCAATAATTCAAATGTATTTTCTTTTCGTCATTTAATGTCATACTTAAATGTCATTTATTATATTATATTTAAAAATAATATTATTTTATATAATTATTTTTAGATAATCAATGAATAAATTTTAATAGAATAACTTAATAATAAATATTAACTAATTCTAATAAATATTATCGTTATTATGTTAATCAATTAATATTAATAATAAATAATTCTCAAATACATGATTGCATAGTGATTACATCAATTTTTATTTAAAATATAGATAAATACTTATTAAATATTGATACTATTGATAATGGTTTTATGATGATATAAATATCTATTTTTAAATAACATGTAAACAAGTGTTTTGTTAATTAAATAAACAAATTGAATAAATTATATATCAAATATCAATTTATTAATTGTTGATATATTAAAATTGAATGCCTTTATATGGCTGACATGTATTGATTAGAATTATTTATAAAATTTTTTGAATATTTGACAAATCTATTACTTTAAATATTTATAAAACATATCATTTTGCTATTACATCTGTTATATAAATATTTTATATTACAATCTAAACTGAAATTTATAGTATTGAAGAAATAAATAAAATTTCAAACATAATAACACATTTTATTATAGATTTTTATTTTGTTTATAATATACAATATTAATGTATATAAAATACTATATTTTTATATGTTGTGCAATTAGTTATTATATATATGTAGTTATTATTAAACTATATATAAAATTACATTAAACATAATAATAACAAAAATAGATATAATTATTAATAGGCACTCCTTAAGAAAAATTCAATGATTAAAATAAATTATTTATTTGTATTATTTCATTAAATATTAATTCATTTAACTCTGAAAATGATTTTTGAGTTCAGTCTTAGTAAAAAATCAATCAAATATTTGTAGAATTGATGTATAAATAGATACATTGAAACTATAATTGTATTTATATTGCAACCATAGTTATGATTTATATATAAAAGGATAAATTTTAAATAAAATTTTAAATGGCAAACAATTGAAGTGTGGGTTTAGGGGTTTGACTTAATTTTTCAATCACTCAAATCGGAAAAATCGATTTTTAATCAAATACTCGCCAAAAATAATTCATTCAATTTATGAATTAATTTATTAAACTTGAAATTAAAATCCAATGTCAAAAACTAAAGTATAGAAATGAGGAGTTGTTAGCCATTTATAGTAAAATAGTGATTAAATCTAATCAGATATCTTCATGTCTTATATTGTATTGTATGTAAACTTTAATAAAAGACTAATTTGTTTGTAAATCATTGTATAGCTGTTGTGTGCATCCATTCAAAGCATCAAAATGTTTAGTCAATTATTATTCACTATTTTATATGCAATTAATGATTACATTGAATGCATTATTCTCTTTAATTAATTAACTTTTTTCTCCCCTTTGATGCCAATTCAAGGCAAACATAGTGTGTTTTTTAATTACTACAAACATTAGAAAACTAATTTTTAATTAAATAATGAGCCGTCAAATAATAAATATAAATTGTACAATAATTGTAAGCAAATAAGTTTGCCTTTTAATTAGATTTATATATTTAAAAGAAAATGAGTTAAAAATAAAAGTAAAAAAGAGTGGCAAACATAAAGTTAAGTGAATTTTACGATTTAACTCAATTGAGACAAACACGAGAATGCTTTCAAACAAATGTTTTCCATTTAAATATTTATTTATCATGTCTTTTGTTTTGTGTTAGTTTAATGTAACAAATATTTTATTTAAACTAATTTTTAACATAAAACAAACTACCATACAATTCAATATAATTCACCATAATTTTATTGCTTTAATATATTATAGTCATATAAATTGATTGAAATATTGTATTTTGTGTTGTATTGAATGTTTCATATAAAAATAAAACATAACATGTTTCATATGTATGATATGTTTTAATATTTGAGTACAAAAATGTAAATTAAAAACTGTATATATTTTGAGTACCTATTTTTAATATGTCAAGCCTTCAATTTGTTATCAATATTTTGTTTGCACTAATCTTATTTTGACTGTGATCAATTAACTTTTTTTTTATTCATCTGTAAACAGTTTTTATTGTGACTACAAAATTAATTATAGCAAATATTATGTTCATATTTATTAATGCTAATTGTTGTCTGGTTCAATGTTAATTTATAAAAATAAATTAAATCTACTAAATATCTATTATTTTTATGATACTATTACTATGTAATGTACAGTATTTATATATAACAAATAGTTAGTTACTGTCGTTGGCATTATTGGATAAACCATTTGAAGTCAATATAAATTTACATTAGACTCTAAACAAGCTTAATATTATAACAAATTATGAATTAAAAAACCTTTATATAATTATTGATATATAAATGTATAGACAATTAAATGTTAAAAATTCATTTATTTGCAAAAACTTCAAGCAAACCAAAATTAGACGAAACTATTCATTATTTAGATCATCAATACGTGGTTTCGTTTTAATTAATATATGATAATAGGATCAAAAATATTAATATTTTGGCGTATTTTTGCATTTTATGCAAAATATACAATAAGTACATAAAAAAATAAGAGTAAAAAACATTAGAAGAAATTAATGAATTATATTGATTGTCAAAATGTATTAAAAATTAATAATTGGCATTAAAAAGACACATAAATTATAATTTAGTCTCGAAATTAATGTCATATATATTAATGTCTAATGAAAGCCCAGACGACATATATATTGTAAATCATTATATAATTATTTGTTTTGTTTGTCGTATATAACAAATGAGAGACAGTTGGGTCACAGAGAGTCAGACACCTCAGACACCTCATGTACTGAAGAATCACTACATTATGTTCAATATATTTCCAATTTTACTTATATTATCAAACATTTAAAGTTGTGTTTACTAAATAAAATGACAGTTAGAAGTGACCTACCGGTTGGTCGATGATATAGTAGGCCAGTGCGGGCTAACCAGTCAATAGATAGTCCACTAGCACTGGATGTAAGGCTTTTGATGTCATGAAAGGGTGAGTGAAACGCGCTTTTGTGTATCAAAGGGATGGCAGAAGTCGAGTGGTTCGGTGTGTTGGCCATTGCATGGGGACCGTGACCTTGACTATAGATGGCTGCATATAATGGATGTGTCGATGCATTGACCGACGAGAACAGTGACGACATTGAGGACATGGCAGCAGTGGCCGGATTGTCATGTGATGAATGAACACCAGAGCTTAGTGACGAACACATCGGTATATTAGATGATATGGGAGACCATAGAGGAGACATCGGTCGATGTCTGCAACACTTGTTGTCAATATTGTCAACAATTGTGTCACAACTTAAGTCTTAAGATGTCATCAAAGATTGTTTCACTTTTAAAGAGTTAATTCAAAAAGCATTCAAATCTGACGCGAGATTTGCTTTGAATGTTTAGAGTGAGTCCTCAATCACATAGACTTACAATACATGCGATTATTAGTGTTGTAATCAAACTATTATTCACAATAAGCTCAACACTCGTGTTGTCCACTCTCTTGCTATCCCTCTCTCATAGGCAGTCAATGGGATCCCTTACGTGCCCTACCGTTCCGTAGACACATACAATAGCCACCAATCCTATAGCTCATACACTCATGACGTTTCTCTCAGACACAGTGGTGTCGATATACATGTGCCCAACCCTAATGTTTAGACCACACCTCCCTTTGCAAGTAAAACATTTGTTTAGATAACTTGAAAACTGTTTAACGACTCTCACAGCTATTAATGCAATTTTAGGGCTTTTAATGAATGCATAAATATATATAATATAATATATAAAGTATATATTAGAGTTTTATTTAAAATAAACAACATTTTAACAATAATAGTAAATATCATTTTTATTGACAATTACTTAATGCACAATAAGTTGATTATATGGCTATAGTTTAAATAGTATTGAATGAAAAAATGAGAGGAAATAAAAATAAATTATGCGTTCAATTAGTGAAAGCAAGTCTTGAATAAAACGTTAAATAATTTTTATTTTATATACTATTTATATTATATTTATTATTTACATTATTATATTATATTATATTTAATATTATATTATTATTCATATACATTGCACTAATAATTGTTTCTCATTTGTTTGAGTTATTTGATCCAAACATAAATGTTTGCACAAAAATATTGCTTTTAAAAAGAGTGGAAAAATTGATTGAAAAAGAAATGTGATGTAATGTATGAGAAAATGATGTATTATATTAGGTTAAAGTTATCCGATTTGACTAATGCCTCATAAAAAACCTCAAATTGGCCATTGGTTTCACATTTCACTTATCAAATGCATTATATTTTGACAATTACGGGTCAATCACGGGTCAGCCAATGCAAACTTAGCAACTATTCGCTTATATATTAATATAAAAAGCCTACAAAAAACAAAACTATGGTATAAGTTATATGACAAACAACTAATAAAAGCCTAAAATCCTTATGTTGGCTAAAAAAGCATTTACTAAACGCTAAATATATTTACACATCACATCCATAAGCACTTTGACTGACTCTATGTTTGTTCCCATTGACCGCACTCTCAGTACAATTCATTTTAATTTAATTCTAAGCCATTATTGTGTTTACAATTGTGTTGCTTTACATAACCGAAACGTGGATCACATTTCCATTAATATGTATTATACATATCGTAATATATACTATATATTCATAAATTGATTTCTATTAACAATTGACATCAATTCAAGTTAAACACAAGTCGACCGATAAATTGCTTATTAAAACAATGGTTTTTTTATTACTTATAATTTATAAGTTATAAATAAAAATAAATCAATCAAATAATAATTATTTTTAATTAAATAAAAAATTAAGATAAATATAATTTTTGAACAAAATTAAATAAAATATTTTTTAACACTAAAAATTTACAAATCATATAATATTCATATTTTTAGAAAACTATTAATAATAGTATCACTTATGAGTACAAATATATTATATACTGCTATCTATTGGATAACATTGAAAATGATTTACTTTTAAGGTTTATATCTATTTAATATTTTAATTATACAGTATTACTGTATAGTATTATATATTTTCAATTTTAATTTAATTTAAAAGTTATAAATAAAATTTAGGGTAATTAACATTGAAATGAATTTTAAAACATTGATATTGAAAATTATTTAACAAAATGTTCCTTCAATTGTTTCATGTGTTTAACAATACTTGAATCTTATTAATAGAAAAAAAATCAAAATTAATTTGTTATTTAATTTAAAAACAATGAAATACCTCTGCTTTTTCTAATATCATAAGAATTTCTGATATCATTGCGAACCTCTTGATTGATGGCATCGTTTGGTGCCGAAGATCTTTGGTTTATCACTGACTCAAATGACTTTATCCACAATTGTCTTTCGTCATCACTTTGTGCTGCAAAAAGCCACGTCCTCTCTAATGTCATAAACAATTGATATAATAAATATGTAGACTTGCAATAAAAATATAAAAAGACCTGGAGTATTTAGTGTAAATGAGAAAGCACCATCCAAATCTTTCATTCCTATGGGAACTCCTAATTTTATAGAATATCCTTCTCTGGAATCACCTAAATATAGTTCCCCTTTTGGATACGCGTCCTATAAATGTATTATTAAATTTATGAAACAAATAATTGTGGATCAATTGACTTACTAATGGTTGATCCAAATACATGAGTTTTCTGTCATCCAACACAAACCATCTTCTCTTATATGAATCACTAATTCGTGGACCAGTTTTCCAGAGAAAGCCTTCTTTGACAAAGTCTCGGCTTAAAAGTTTCAAAAGATCTTCGACTGGAGTTTCGGGAAATGCTATCTGAAAATACTTCAATTTTGCTGCTCTGATAGCTGTATACCAGTCTATGATGTCCTATCATATAGTGTTTAATCAAAGTGTATTGTCTTTTAAAATTAATGATTTTTTTCTATAAAGATTTCATTAAAATTTATCCTATAAATAGTGTTTGAATAATAATGCTGTAGAAAACTATTTAATAATATAATGTATGTGTTTTACAATAATGTTTACACAAAGTCTATAATTACAAAACATTGAAATCAACGGTTTATTAAATGTTAAATCAAATAACGAATTTGTAATTATTAAACTATTAATAAATAATTGAGATTCAAATAAATTAATGCTTTAAACTGTTTGTGTTTAACACCTCATTAATGAGCTATTTATGCAATTAATGAACTTAATTGAAACAATCGATATATAATTTCATTAATGTTTGCAAAGTCTGAAATTGTTTTATTTTTTGAAAATTTACGTGACTTTCTCTCATCTATCAAAGTATACACTAATTATTGAAAAATATGTTTTTAAGTAATAAATGAGTGAATGAATTCAATTTTCAAGCAAACACTAAACAATTAATTGTTGAACAGAATTGAAAAAGTAGTCATTAAAAAAAGGGTAAACCTTTTAGTAATTTTTTTTATAATTAATGATATTTTTTGGATAATTCATTAAATAAAATTAAATTTGAAATGTTTTTTCAAAACTATACTTAAGATATTATTCATACTTTTCCACTCTCACTGTAAACAAATATACTTCTTGTGAATCCATCCTTAATCCAAGTCAATTGCATACCATTAGGATTAGCGATCTTATCCGGACAGAAGTTCATGTTTAACGACGCCATCTTTATCGCCGTTTTTGGCATCTTTTGAGTCTGTTTTCGATAATTTAATCATCAAATTAAAACAAATTTTATTATAAGATATTTTGAAACAAATTAAATAATTTTTAAAAAATGAATACTTGTTTGACATAATATTTAAGCGTTCCTTCGGATTCATTTAAGACGAACTTCCTCTGCAGGAACTTTCCGTCTTCACGCCCTCTCTTCCATAACATAGCCTCCAAATACCCCTTAGTATAGGGCGCTGAACAAGGATTGATAAACTCTTTGCGTTCATATTTTGCACGAATCCATTGCTCGCGAACAACACTTTTTGTATATTTTTCATTAAAATAAAATTCATATTAATATATATATATATATATTATGTATATTTAAATATATATATATATACTGTGAGTCGTTTGGATGTGGCTTTCGGTAATAAATAGGTAAATGTTTTTCATAGAGTTTTTTTGATAAGATATTTCCATTTTCTTCCATAATAATCACTTGCGATTGATCCCAATTATCTAACTTTAATGACTTTATTCGACTCACATGAATACCAATTTTCCGATGAATACTGCATTCACACAATTTTTTGTATAAGTAATAATAATATATGAAATATATAACCAAAAAAAATAATTAAAAATTACCTAGCACATAATTTACATAAAAACACACCCAAAGTAATTGAAGCCCATTCAGGATCTAAATTAAATTCAATTAACATTAATAAGTGCCACAAATTTTTGATTAATTAGGCCATACTTTCGGCCTCACAATCGGCACAAATGTCATTCCCGGCGATCTTCAAGAGCTCAAACAGACGTCTTCTGTTGCTTTCACTCATAGTTTGTCTTATAATAAGTCATTAAATGGATTTCAATTTAGTTCAAATCAAACAAAATATTTATTTTTTTAGGCATACATTTCAACAAATATTATATTTTGTTGAAAACTGATTTCCTATAAATATGTTAGTTTGTGGATTGAAAGGAAGGAAATATATTAATGGGATGTATCGATAAAATGTCAAAATTTTACATTTATGTAATATTTATTTTATATTTTGAGCAAAAAATGCAATGAATATTATTTTATAATAATTAGAAATTTGGAAATTAAACCTTTATTTGATAAAATAATAATTGTTGTCAATTTAATATTATAAACATAAATAATTTTAATAATTTTGAAAAACAACAAATAAGTCTGAGATCATTTTACAATAAATGAGTTCAAAAGTACCGGTAATCTTCAATACATAGTAAATGTTTATAAAATAGTAGATTAACAATTTAAAAATAATTATAAAATGATAATTTTTTGATAATATATTTTTAAAAATAAATTTTGTGGAGTTACAGAAATATCAAAATAAATACCGATATATATATATATATATATTTAGAAATTTTGATTGAAAGTATTTATCAAAAAAAAAATAATAATAATTTCGCCAATTTTTAATTTTAAAAAATCAATAAATATTACTACAGTAATATTTTAAAAATACTTCAGGTAAAGTGTGTATGTGTGTATGTGTGTATGTGTGTATGTGTGTATGTGTGTATGTGTGTATGTGTGTATGTGTGTATGTGTGTATGTGTGTATGTGTGTGTGTGTGTGTGTATGTGTGTATGTGTGTATGTGTGTATGTGTGTATGTGTGTATGTGTGTATGTGTGTATGTGTGTATGTGTGTATGTGTGTGTGTGTGTGTGTGTGTGTGTGTGTGTGTGTGTGTGTTTGTAAATTATATAAGTTTTTAAATAAAATGGACAAACAGTAGATATTAAGTAAATATAAACATAATATTTATAAGACAAGATACGGATAGACAATAAATACCATTACAATAGATAAGCGCTAATTATGATAAATAACTGCTATATATTGTTACTGAATATACAAAATTTAAGTTAGTTTACAGTTTTAATAAACTAATTAATTTCATTTTGTTAATATTAAATTGTATAAAACCATTTCTAATTTATAAGTGTCACATATGTATATACTGTATATATATACAGTATATATGATATAAATACTATTAGATTTGGCACATTCATGCATAAACTGTTTGTCTTTATAAAAGTTTACTTCAAAAAATGACAAAATTAATGATACATTGACTAGATTTATAGTTAATATAAGATAATAAAATTGTCGCATTGATTGCATATTAAATGGATGGCAGTTATAATTATTAAAAATGAAAATAATTAAATTAAGTGAATCAATCGTCAATTTGTGTGATATTGGATCGGTTGGTGTCATCAATGCTTCTCTTGTTTCTGTCCTCAGGACTGGTGGCTTCAATACAGAGTACAATGAATGCATTATTACACGAATACTTTTCCTGATCCAGTAGTTTGCCACTGATGAGTGAGCTGGCCAGTCCCATTTTGCCCATACTGTTTGAGTTCCAGGCATCACAATATGCCTCACTGTTTCTAACCCCTGACCTGTCAGCCCCGTGCCAAACAAGCTTCTGTGGCCTATCCATAGATTTTATAAGTATTTATAACTATTGTATATTAGTTCAAAATTAAATCAGTTTTTAATACCAGGAATAGTCAGTTAATACGTTTCTTCCATCAAAACTATAAATTTTTGGAGGAAATGGAAAGGGAGCACCGGCACCCGTGAATATATCTTTCCACGAGTGAAATAATATTTCACCCTGGTTTATTTTAAGTAAAATATATTAACTGTTAATAATTATTTTATAATAAATTTAAATCAAAGTTAAATATACTTTTATGTTAACAATAGGAAGCTTTGAGTCCTTATAGCGAACAATTGAATCTAAGTTTTGCACTCTTGAGGCGACAAACGCTCTGAAAGTTCCCCTCATATTAGCTCTTCTTGACTGACGATAGCACTCATAGTCAGCGCCACGAATGCCATGAAAATCACCCGAAAGAGGGATATTCAGTGATGCCATTCGTAACTGTTTAACAATTTTTTCAATTAATTCAAACTAATTTAATTAAAATTTTATAATTTATTCATTGATAATAACATATTATTGTATAATTTATTATTTTTGTGTTAAATTATTATACCTTTCTATGATTGTGGTGCTTGTAATACAAATATATCAAATTTAATAACTATTTTTATTAATAATAATATCAAATCAATGCTTACTCTCATTGAGTTTTCAGACAGAGTTTCAATTTGTGAGTTCAATAGAGAAGACGCTGTCGTAGATGTGGTTGTTGTCACAGACTTTACAAAAAAAAAATAAATAAAAAGTTTTGTTAATAATATAAAATACAGTATATTTAATAAATACATACAATTTGATTGAAATCAGATGATGAATGAACTACAGATCCTAACTATATATAATAACAATATTATAAAACTATATATATGTAAATTAGACAAATAGTAATATAATTTAACAAAAATTTAATATTCAATATACCGTAATATAATTTATTTATTTAGATTTTAGATTATTATTGAAATAATAGTAATATGACATACCTGAACATACTGCCAGCCCCCGTTCATACGAATCAGTAAAGCCTGTTCATCACTAATAAAGGCCAACGTTCCCAATGGGTAAGCTATAGCCCTCTTTAGTGAATCCATGTCTTTGAATGAAACAGCCTTTAAATTTAAATAAAACATATTATTTTTGTTAACTTAAAATATTATTTTTAAATAACTCACTCCGGGAACCACAAGTTGCGATGAACTCAATGATGGAGTAGCCGAATGTCCCGTTTCACCCTTTTCACCGCGAGGTCCGGGAGGGCCCTCCACATAGACTTGTAATATAAATAAACAAATAAAATTAAAATGAGTTATCAAGTCTATTGATTTATTGATATAATGTGATACCCGTTTGCACATGTGATTCATGTCTCGATAGTGGTGCAGAACCTTTGATTCCTCTGTAAGCTATTTTAATGGATTGTTTGTTTATTTTTTGTTATTTATGACAACTTTTCAAAATTATTATGTAGTTTAACAGTTAAAAACACTAACATCACAAACCTCTAGTATTGCTAATAGTGTTATCATACCAATCAATTGGTGATTCACCGGGAGGTCCGGGTGGTCCCGGGGGTCCTGGTAAACCTGGTAGTCCAGGTTGACCATGTTCTCCTTGATCACCTTTTAATCCGGGTTTACCCTTAAGTTAAGTCAAATTAAGTTAAAAGTCCCTAAATTAAAAAAAATTAATGTAATAATACGGGAAATCCAATCTCTCCGGGAGGACCCATAGGCCCCGGTTGTCCTGAAAGACCATGTTTTCCTGGTTTTCCTTTTTTGCCCCTTTCACCCTGCTCACCTCTCATTCCAATGCCGGGCTCACCCTTTGTGGAAAAATTAATAAATTTTATTTAGTTTACAAAATAATAATACTTTGTCTCCTTTATGTCCGGGAAGACCTCGAGGACCAGGTTCTCCAACTCGTGTTAAATAAGAAAACGAATCACTTCCGGGTCCGTAAAACCGAGAAGACATATCAGGCTATAGTTAAGCCATTCAAGTATTCAGTAAAGTATTTATTACTCTTTTTATTGTCAATAAGTTAAACGCTTACATCAAATGTTGAACCTCTTCCTGGAGGTCCTATTGTTAAGTATTTTGCAATAAAATTCAATTATAATTATTTGAAAAACTAATGTTTGCTCAAACCTGGTGGTCCAGGAGGTCCAATGGGACCCATATCTCCTTTTTGACCTCTAACTTGTGGATTGGAAATAATTTCACTTATATTGCACTGACATGTGTTGATCACTGAGCTGGAGGTCGATGTCTCATAAAATAATCGCATGTCTTCACTATAAACACACTCACCCTTACAGTTATAATAGAGATTTCTTTTGTGACAATTTTAAAATAATTTTATTGTTTTCATGTCATACCTTTTGACCCCTTTCCCCTGTATCTCCTTTTTCACCCTTTTCTCCTCTTTCGCCTTTAATTGTTATGATTTCAGGTGATGTGATGTCTGGTTTTTTATCCTAAATTTATTGTTAGTTTTATTGTAGTATTTTATTGTATTTTTATTTAAAGATTACAATTTACTCGTCAACTAAATTTGCATTAACTATATAATGAATAGTTTAGAAAATTTGTAAATAAAGTGTGTTTAGTGAGCTATCGATCCATCAAATATTATGATAGATTTATAATTTATTTAAAAGTTAATTATTTTTATCTATAAATAAACATATTATAATTACGGTATATAAATATTTAAATCTTGTTAATAATTTCTTATTATATATTGTATATTATAATATAGCCTCGATTTGGTAAATACTTTGCAAAAATAATTAGTAAAAATTAAAAATAATTTAACATTATTAATAAATAAAAATGAAAAAATATTTTTATTGAGTTAATAAACTGTTGAATTATGCCAAGTTTATACTATGCAATTGACTTTTTAAAAATAAATTTTGTATTAAAAGTACAATATTTGCTAAAATCTTCAACAGTGTTGAGATATTTATTTATTTTTTCTTTTTTTTTTGATTGAGTTAATATTTTCATAATTTTTATACATATTTGTTTGAATTTTGTATATTTGTATATACTGTATATAAAGGTCAATAGTCTATATCAAAAGTCTGTAAATTATGAAAATCTTTATAAAAATATCATTTTAACTCATATATACCCGTATATATATATTTAAAATGTATAATATTATAAGATTTATATTACAATAAAATGTTTTTAGTGTTTATTTAAATAATAATGTATTTACTATTTATGGCAAAGTTTTACTATATTAGAGCTACTCTTAAAATAAATACTAAACTCTATTTATAACATATTTATAACTATGTGTTTAACTGTTAAATGTATACAATTTGTAAACTTAATAAAAAATATTAATATTAATTGGAAAATCGATAAAATATGTAATTTTGATCGAAAAATTGATAAAATACTTTTTATTTTTTAGTTTAATAAATTTCACATTAAAACATGAACTCATAATAAAGATTGATTTATTAACATAAATACAAGTATTGTTTAAAAAAGTAGTAATTTATTATCTATGATATGACATCTAATAACTTGTAAAATAAATAATAATATTCATGAAAATACTCACTTCAAGTGTTGATTTCTCACCGATAGTGTCTAAAAATAATAATAAAGTTTTTTTAAATCTAGAAAATTGCATTAAAAAAATTCTTTACAATATATTATCCTTGAATTAATTCAAATAATAAAATGTTTTATTCTATAGTATCTAACAATATTAACAGCTATTAGTCAAAATTCAAATAAGCAATTAAATTGATGATTATTTGATTATAAAATTAATGAATAATTCAATATTTAAATAGAAGTTATTATAACATTATATTATAAGTTATTATACTATCTGAAAAAAATGTTTTCTTTAGGGAGGGGTTGGGGAGGCTCTGCTTATCATATTATCAATAGTATTATATTAATATTAGCTTATTGTGTAATAAAATACTGAATATATTATTAAGTTTTTAAATTTGCAAAAAATGTAATAAAATATTTTGTAAATAAATACAACAAAACAATAGAAAGAGAAATAATAATAATAATAATAATAATAATCAAAACCTGGATCAGTGTCGACACGAGGCTTATCGACGCCGAAGTCATCGATGATTTGTTCCTTCGGATCAATAATACTGACAGTAGAGAACTGGACATTGAATTTAACGATTAAATTGTAATCAATGTTTGAATCACTAAAATGTTGTACCTTTTGATCTGTTTGTTCGACATTATGGAGGAACCCCTCGTCATAATCTCCACTTCCAAATGAATCACAATTATATAAGTGAAACAAAATGATAATAAAGTTTATTTGAAGCACTAGTTTGACACTCATATAAACATAATAACCCATAGTTTTAATTAAACAAATGACTTGTAATATCAGTTATGATATGGATTTTTGAATAGCAATTTGATAACTAAATGACTACAAAATGATGTAAACTATAAATGAGGACAAACTCTATACAAACTTCTTGTATGACTTGAGCTGAAACTGCTTGAAGTCAAGTCATGTTAAGAGAAGTTTGCGCTAAAGTAATGCAATAAACGTATAGTAAATGTCAGATAAATTATATACAATTGCTTTCTCTATATACACACAACTCGTGTATCACTTTCTCTTTATTTTCTAACACAAACACAACAATAGCGCCCCTCGAGTCACACCAACACTCAGTACAAGCCATCCAAATGTTGGGTCCCTATGTTTGACCAATTGATCACTACTACTGTACTACAAACTCAATCACCACAATGACCATTACATACAATATTATATTATTTAGTAAATATTCAATCATACAATAGACATGTTGTTTCCAGAAAAAAGTTATCTATAATTTATATTTAGATTATAAATTATCATTACATTTATCTGTTATGTTATTTTTTCCCTGTAATTACACGTAATGTTACGATAATTAAATAAAAAATTTGTGTATACTTTAAGATTTGCTAATTATATCTCAAATTCTTAAATAATTTAATAGTGAAGTCTGAATACCAAATATATTTATTTAGTACATACTTTTAAAACATATAATTTTTTCAATAATATACTATTTTATAATACATATAAAACTTATAATTATATCTTTAAAGGAAATAGGTTTACTTGTTTTTTAAAAATAAAACAACTTAAAGTTGTCATAACTTTTTATTTGAAAATGATAAATGAGAAATTTTTTCGATAACATAATTTAAGCAATGATGACATTTTTTTAAAATGTTCAAACAATTTTTTATATAACAAATTCATATAAAATTATTATTGATGACAAATTATTATTATTAGACCACCAAAGTTAATGTTTAAATAATACAGTATATACTGTATATATGATATATGATATGAGGAATAAATTAAAATATCTAAATATAAATTGTTTTATAATATTTTATTTAATAAAATATGACTAGACTTAGGTGACCATCGTTTTACGTAATATAAGTATTAATAGTATTATAACAGCAATCCTTTATCATATATTTGAAACATTTGTTTTATTAAAGACTAATATACTTATATATATATAGTATATACACTAAAACAAAAATATTGATCCATTGCTCATCACGTTTTCAACTAAGCCGTGATCTTTGACTGCAATTAATGTCTATGAATTGAATCAACTAATCCCTGTCCCCGAAACTCCGTCACTATATAATACACTTTTGGCTGATTGTTAGTCTATCGCAGTATCTATCTATCAAACAATAAGTGACTCCCAAAACAAATTCCCAAAACTATTTTCTCACTCACAGACATACCTAGAGTTCGTAAACACTGGAAATTATCGTCAATGAAAATTGTGATCACATTTTTGTAAATTTCAAATTAAGAATAAGAAATTCGTTAAATTTAAATATTACAATATCTGTATTAAAATTGTAACCTAAATATATTACAAATTGTGTAATCAATAGATTGATTATATCTGAATAAAATTTTTTTTTCGATATTTATAACATAACATATAATACTCATGTTTGACTATTAGACTCCATCTAATTATATCTAAATATAAGGCAATCAATGAGTCAATTGACATAAGACAGAGAAGTGTTGATGTGTTTGGTTTGATATATATATATATATTGGGAAACGTATTGAAGAAAAGAAAGAGATGTTAGAGATGTTAGTGATGTTAGGGATCAGTGAGACGTGCGATCGTTCCGTGAGTTTTGTCGCTCAAAGACTTAATGAAATGTTGTTTTAATTCACATCACGTCTTCTTCAGCGCTAATAATGAATTGACTCAAATCGATACAAACTCTTAGTATATTTATTAACCCAAAACACTGGAAAATAAAGTATTACAACAATTTTACTAAAATCAATAAATACAGTATTATTATTATATACAACAATCAAAACTTGACTAAAATTATGTTAAAAACAAAATTTAATTACAATATAACAGAAAATATTTATGTCAATTAAGATTTACAAATAACAAAATAGTTTTTCTTCTTATTATTATTATTACAGTTTAGTTGAAAATAAGTACAAATGAGTGAATTAAAAAAATTAAATGCAATTTCACTACAAAATGGCAAATATTTGGCTTAAATTATCTAAAAAGGAATGCATTCATAGGAATCTATTTATTTATTTATTTGTTTTTTCCTCAGAAATTAATAATTATGAAAGCGTTTATTTCACAGTCAATATACAAATTTTAAGACTATTTAATTGAAGACTAGGCAACTAAATTGAAATACAAATCATATTTTAAGGCACTTATAAGTAATTCATTTATCAAGAAATAAATTCAATACCAAAAATATTGAATCTTTTCCTTAATATTAATCACTATTTGAAACTAAGTCACTAAAAATGATATATAAACTTATGTATCATCTAAACAATATACTATATATATTACTATAAATAGTATGCTTTATGTGTTGCAAAATGAATATAAATATGGGTTATAATAAGTTATTCGTGAGATTTTTATTGGCGAGTCTAATGTTTGTTTATAATGTAATGCAATATCCCTTTAATCCGATACTTTAAACATCCGGTATATACTACACACTATTACACAAACCCTCCCTTTCTTAAAGTTTTTATAACAGAAAAGTCTGCGATTTCATGCTTTTTATTGGTTTCATTAATGCTTTGACTTTTGAGGGCCAAAGAATTTGGTTTTTGTTTATTTACTTTGCCTAACAATGAATTGCATTTCATAATGACACCATCGTTGCAATTCTTGTCCAAAATACAAGACATGCCTCCCAGGCCATCAAAACCAATATCGAAACCACTGTTGTTTTCATTAGTTTTTAGTTGTCTTTTCGGAGATTGAATGTTATTGATGAATGCTTTTGATTCGTTACTATTGTTTTGAGATAATTGTAAATCACTTTTTATAGAGTTATTCACCTCTTTTTTGGGTGATTTGTCTTTTAATGTCAAATTTTCAATACATGTTATGTCTACAAAATAAATTTAAAGTATCAAATTAATAAATGCGATATTTATTATTTCATATAAATATATATACCAGAAATAAGTGATTCGTATGATTTATATGAATTGCATGAACTAACTTTAATATCAATATCGCTGTCCTGTAAATACATAAAAATAATGTTTCAAATAAGTCAGAAAAAGTTATATTAAAAGTATTATACCTGAGGTGATGACTGCGAAGATATAGCAACTAAATGTTCGCCTTTTATTTGAGGCAAAGATTGTGAAAAAAAGTTGACGGAAGGGACAGAAGTTGTTATTGGGATCTGAATACCAGTCGAGAGCTGAACATTTGAGAAACTGTTGGTAACATATGTTGAATCAGTTGTTTGTGATAATGAAGTTGTCGTATATGTGAATATTGAGTTTGTCGTTACATAATTCATATGGCGTTTAGTTTGGCATTCAATGATCGCTTTCTCATTCATTACTTTTATTGAATTTATCGTAGATTCCAATACTTCTTTATTTAAGTCTTTAATTGCTTTATTGGGAACTCCTGGAAGTGTTTCAAGAATAGTTCCTAAATGAGGTGTCGCGAGTTTTTGCCATTGTTTCAAAGTAGCTGATCCCTCAATCGGTTTAACAATCTGTAATTTATCCGTAAAATAAAAACTTCTTTGTTGTACTGAACCAATAACTGGCTGAGGGTTGTTGTATCGATAATACAAAGAATCGCCTGAAAGAAGTGAATCAGGACTATAACATCTCGTTTCATCTCTTTGTTGATTATTTTTCTTCTTCATCGGTCTAAACCCAAGACTAGAGTATTCACTATCAGAATATTCACTTCCTAGAGTTGACTCTAACTCGGAGGCTAACGATTCGTTAAATGGCATATATGTACAGTTGTTTACATTTAATCGGGAAGTCTTTTTCAATTCGGACTGCAATTCATAAAATGCAGACAAAAGTGTAGAATATTTCTCTTTAATTTCTAACAATTCTTGAGATAATTCCGTTTGACATTCTTGTGAAACATGGAGTGAATTCTGCAGTGATTCGCATTCATTGGTTAAGTCGCGAATCTTTCGCTGCAATTCAACCACTTGTGTCACCAAATTTGTGATCTCTTCCTGTTGTCTAATGTTATCTTCACCTTTAAGTCCGACTTCGTCCTGATATTTTAATAATTTCAAATTTGCCTCATCTGTAAACAAAAAAAATTATGTCATAAATAACAAACAACAATTAAATTGATATATCAAAACCAACTCAATTGTTTGGCACAATCGTGGATTAATTGCAATTCTTTTTTCTCTTCAATTTCGATGTCTTTAGATCTGGAGGTCGCTTCGTTCTTAAGCCTAAGATTTTCTTCTTCCAAAGAGCCCACTCGTCGATTCAAATCTTCCCAATTTGTCAGAAGCAATGACTTGTCTTCTAAAGATTGTTGTGTTTCTTCAGATTCTAACTCTTGTGCCTCAATGTCCGCACAATAGACTTGTAATAAACCATTTTTCATAGACAGCTCATGTTTTAATTGTGTTATCTATTTATTTAATAGATAATCATTTATTATAACATTTATAATAATAACAATTAATTTATTCAAAATAAAATAATTTTGTTTAAAATATTAAGCAAACATATTGTATTATTATTATTGCCGTAATTTTAATTCAATAAATAATGCAATATAAAGTTTAAATTGAAAAATAAAACAAAACAAAAAAATACAAACCCTTTCGCAAGCATTTGAGAGTTCAAACTTAAGTTTCTCGACCTATTCAACAAACAATTCATGCAAAATAAGTTAAAATCAAAGATTAAAATATAATTAATTAAACAACAAAAAAGTTGGCAAAAGCTATGCTTTTTGTGTAAAACTCAAGGTTAAGATTTCTACTATTGTTACAAATTATATATATTTTTTTCATAACATTTTTAAAGAGTTATGTTTACTATTAGATATGCAGTTATCACTAAATATTAAACAATAATAAATTATAAGCACTCTTTGAACCGTTTATTTGATAAAAAAATTATGGTAACAAAAATAACTGATTGCACAACACATACAGCTTCGTTGGTATTCGTGAGGTCCGACTCCAGTTCCTCATTACGAACGGACAGATCTTTGTTTTGCTCTAACAATGACTGTCCTATTCTGGCCGCTAATTCAAGGTCACGCTCTTTCTGTTAAAAAATTAAGATTTTTAATATATTAAATGCTATAAATGAGACAACTAGTTGACACCAACTTCTTCGAGCAGTTTGGTCACCATTTCAATGTCATTATAAGTCTTTGTCATTTGGCTCAATCGCTCCGACGATAGTATAAAATATTTAAGAGTTTCGCTTAAAGTTTCGGGACTTAAATCAAATGGTGTTTCGTTGTCTATCACCGGTGTCTTAATATACCAGTCGTTATTGTCATAACCTATAGTAATGTAATGTGATTTTTGCAATTATCTGTATTTAAACAAACAATTCATTACTTTTATCATTACCTGAAAACTCGGTGATACTATCGCAACGAAGTTTGTATTTTGGTATATAGTCTTCAACTAAGGATAACAGTTCCACTTCATCCACAACTTCACGATTGTTGCAAATATCTAACATTTAAAGAGACAAAACTTATTTTTTATATTATTTAGTACTTATTGTACTAATTTGCTTGAAATCATATTTTATAAAATAAATATTTTTTTCTATGAATATATAAATTAAATTTTATGATTGCTTATAATTATTACAATTTTATGATAAAAATTATATGAAGATTATATTTAAAGGGAAAATGTCATAAAATAGTTTGAGTTGTATTATAAATATCGATAAAATACTTTTACAATACGTTGGATAGCATTGTATTCATAACAATAGCGATAATTATAATTAATAATTATTTTGATTATATAAAGGATTGCAAACCAATAGAAACTCAATAGCAATACAATCACTGATTGATGTTAAGTACAGTACAATCGTTAGCATTGAATGCCATTCAATGATATTATAAAGTAATGACTGTTAGACCTGTTATTGTCGATGAATGAGTCAATTGTGGGTTAGTTTTGTTATTAATGGCAAATGAGTGACAATTGTGGCAATAGTTGGTCCGATCGCTCACTGGAGTACTCGATGACACATCTTTGTCACCAATTATCTCATCATTGATTCGACAGTCACTTCTTGTAATCTCATTATCACTTGTGACACAATCCACTTCATCGACATCTTCTATTGATTCCAGTTTTGCGGTTAAAGACTAATCTAGCGATCAATTCATGTATGTCTTCACACTATTCACTCATGAGTTGATAATCACGTATGAGTCGAGACATTCAAGACATTAATGACTTTAAAACAGACTTATCTTATCTCTTAAAACAACAACTCTTTAATTATAATTACATTTATATAAAAACAACTCTTATTTCCTACAAATCACTGGTGAATAGCCTTCAAAACAATTCAATCCAAACCATCATTATATCTAATATTTGGCCACAAATTGCTATAATTATAACATTTTTTTACAGTTTATGTAATCACCAAAAAAATAAAATAATATAAAAACAATTAAATGTAATCATACGCTAAATAACATTACGTTTTATTTTAAAAAATCAGTGAATAGCTATTTATTGACAATAGTATGTATTATACTCTACTGTATATTAATAATAGTGACACCAAAACTAAATTTATTGTGAAATCCCATTGATTTCTATAGTAATTTCAACAATAAATATCGTTTACATGAAATCCATGAAATTGTATTTAAAATTTTTGATATTTTAATATCTAAAAAGATTGCCGACAAAAAAAACTTACCAATAAGTTATGTTTTTTTTAATTTCTATGAATTCGTATATAATTAAAACAGATTAGTTTATTTTCAACTCACAAAAAATTAAACTATTAAATCATTTATATATATATATATTGATTGATTTTTCTATTGATATAATTTCATTAATTTTACACTACTGTAACATTGATCATAATCTCAAATGCAACGACTGTTCAAATAATTTTTTTATGTCTAATACTATAACAATATATGGTAATAGTTATATAATAAGTTTATGTCTACAATATATTGTACAATATATGATTAAACTTAGAAAAATCAATAGTTGTTTAATATATAGTTTTCATGCAATTAAATACATAAAAATCATTAATAGGTATTTATGGCAAGTTATTAATTTAAGTTTGAATGTCATATACTGTAGTATTTTATTAATGTTAGTGAGTCATCAATTAAAATAAAACTATTATTTTGTTGATTTTTATGTTGATCTTAGAAAATTGATAATATTTTTTAATGTTATATTTATACTAAATATTTGTTTGGCTTATATTACATGATATTAATTATTAAAATTTGTTTATTATCAATGTTTATATTAAATATTATTTTAATTACTAGAATCAAAATATTATGATATATATATTTCAGGGTTAAGTAAGGGGGGTAAGGCCAAAATACCCCCTAAGATCGAGATTTTGGGATTTTACCCCCACACTTTTTGACAAATGGGAAAAATTGTCGCTTAAAAACGAGGAGAAATGACCCCCCTAAAATTTCGAAATTTTTTTAAGTTTTTAAAAATTTTAATTAAAACAATTTTAGTATGTGTTTTTATGTTTTTAAAATTTATATGAATAATTATTGATTAAAAATAAGTAAAAAAAAGTTAAAATAACGTTAAAACTCATCTAAAATTATTAAACTAAAAAATTAAAAATTACCTATTTGTTAAAAAGTGTAATCATATTACAATTTAAATATAAATAAGATAGTTTAAGAAGTTAATAAAACAATAAATACTTATATTACAAAGTTTTTATTAATAATTTTTAAAATTTTAACAAAAATTAAAAATATTTTCAATTTTATAATTAGTATTCAGTCAGTATTTATATAAAAATAACATTAAAAAATAAAAATATATATCTATAAACAATAAGTATTTTAAGTTAGAAATTACTAAAATACTAAAAAAACTCATAGTGTATCATTAATGCTTTTATCAACTATTTTTAAGTATTAAATACATTATTATTTTATGTTTTTGTTAAAATTTAAGTTTTTGTTAATTTTTAAATTTTATTTTGTATTTTTGGAAATTTTACCTATTTTCATGGGAATTTATACGGGAACTTATGGGAACTTTATCGAATTTACATGGGAATATTCGGGAATTTAAGGGAATATTAGGGAATTTTCTCTTGACCCCCCCCCTTGATTTTGGATTTTTGAAAAAATTGCCGTTTAAAAATGCAATAAAAATCTTACCCCACCCAATACCCCCCCCCCCCCCTTCAAGATTTTTCGAGAATTTTGTAAATTTTACCCCGGTCTACCTTGCTTAACCCTGATATATTTATATAATCATATATAACTTATATAATTTCTGTAAATTAATGCAAAAATTATAATTATTATAATTTATATAAAAACTCATTTATTATAAGAAATTTTTTAATTATGGCATTTGATAATTTGATATAAAAATTAATAATAAACTAAAAGTATTTAATTTTTTTAATTTTTTAGTTTTTATAATAAATATAAAGTACTTATAAATCAAATAACATATACATTATAACTACTCAGAGTAAGCACAGGTAAATAACTTTCTATAGGAATATAAGATTAGATAATATTCATTGTTATTGTATAACAAACAATTTGGACATTATTGAGATATTTATCATCTAAACTATATATATTATACTTTGAAAATATTAAATATTTGCCACAATTAATAGATATTAATTCATTAAATTAATAAATAAATAAATTATAATTACTGTAAGTAAAAATAATATAGAACAATAATATAATTTGCATTTATTATATAAAGAATATATTAATATAGTATAGTATAAAGAATTTTTAATACTATATTTGCTTATAAATAAAAATAGTATTCATTATATTTAAATAATTAAATAATTATTGGTTATTGTTAATTTTTTAAATAGTTTAATTTATGATCTTAATTTACTTTAATTTCAATTTATCATAAACATACATTTTACTGATAGCTCTAATCTTAATTTTACTTTTAGCTATAGTTATTTAAATAGTAAATTATATCTATACTTATACTTATAATTAAATATTCTGTATATGTAAAAGTAGAAATAGTAGAAATACGTACATATAAAATATTATACAGCAGTACTAATTAGTATTTACAGTATTGCAGTAATATAGATATAAACTAGATATAATTAACCATTTAAATGATTATAAATATTTTAATTACTATTAACGGTAAATGACTATTATAACATACTAAAAATAATAGTATACACTAATAATAACAATTGATTGGTAATTAACTTATTTTATAATTGACATATCTAATCTTAACATTAGTATTAATAATAGTACAGTAATATGATATAAATAAAGCATAACAATGCCAATACTTTATATACTTGTACTGTATATGTAATGTATTTATTAAATTTATTATAAAAAAAATAATCTAAAATAATCTAAAAAACAAAATGAATTTACATTTTTGTTAATTTTATTACATGTATTTACTATTTACTCTATACCGTATAAATTACTGTATTTAACTTAAACCCTAACTTTATATATTGTATTGTATTATATATTTACTTAAATAATATTCGAATTATAAAATATTATATAAATATAATTTTTAAAAATTTTTAGTTTATTATACTTTTATTAATTGGCATCTATTATAGTATAATCTAATTTAAATATTTAAACCGGATATTGCATTACATTATTAAAATTATAAAGTTAGCAATCATTAAATCTCTGATTATATCTGAATTATTAATCACTATAGAAATAAAATAACTTTTATGAATAAATATAAAAGTTTGCCCTTGATTATATTCTCAATTATATAATTTTATTAAACAAACAAATATACTTACATTACAAAAACATTTTTATATATAATATTAATGGCAGGTATACTGTATTTAAAACTTAAAAAGTTTACGCACTCTACTGTACATATAATTTATAAACATTTTCTGTATATATTTACAGAAAAAGTTAATTTAGATACAGTATGTAATGTACTCCGTTTATATGATTTTATGAAAATCAAAAAGTATTATTTAGCAAAAAAAAACAATTATATACAATTGAATATTTACAGTATTATAAAAAAATAATCAAATATTTGTATATATAAATTAAATTTATATAAACTATCTTTAATTTAGAAATAATTTTTGTATTCTCGAATATTTTGAGTTTTATTTATAATTAAAATAAGTTTTTAAATATAATATTTATTATTTATATATACTGTAGAGTACAGTTTATCATTAAATTACTACAAAAATTTATAAAAATTAAAAAATTGCTAAAAATAATAATAATAATAATAACACAATAAAGTAGTTAATAATGTATTTAATGACTTAATGTTAGTACACAATAATATACGGAATATTAAACACATAATAAATATCAAATTAAATACTGTATTAAACAGTATAACACATACAGTACTATAAATTCAATAATAAAAACGTTAAATAAATTGCATGTAATTTATGGATATTATGTAACATAACTTACTGTACAATAATAATAATAATAATAATAATAATAAACATTGACTTCAATTCAAATGATTTGGATTTAACATCAAATCTATTAATTAAAAGTAATATTATTTATGTTTTAATGATATTTCATAAAAATTTTGTTAATTGTTTTTAACATTATATAAAAGTTATTGACTGTTGAAGAAAACAAACAAATATAAAGTTAGAGAAATAATAGAAATAATACTATTGTTTAAAATAATTATTAAATAAAATATTAGTAACTAATAAAAGATATGATTGATTGAAATGAAATTATTATAACAATTCAAGTATTGTTTTAATGGATTAAATAGTTTTTTCAAAGTTGTTTGCATTGATTGTTGTCTTAAATGATGATTAGTTTGACCAAAAAGATCAACCAAAAGAAGAGTGAAAACAACCACAAGAAACCATTGATTAGAGACACTCTTCTGATCAAAGGTGAGTCCATTTGTCACCTAAAGAGTGATTTAAAGTCTTATTTATTTTTATATGACATATAAATGTCTTGATATGACAACAGAGGTCCAGGAGATGGAGAAACAAATGCCGGACACATGTTGTGTGACGTTTCCCAACATTAATGAGTTGTTTCACTTCGATCTCTTCATCAGTCCATCAGATGATTGTTTTTGGTCCGGAGGAAGGTTTAAGTTCACTATAGAAGTGCCCAAAGAATATAATATTTTTGTAAAACAAACTAAAAGATTAGTCTAAATATGTGATTATTTTGATGTATGTATTTCATTGATGAATAGCCACCTTATGTTAAATGTCGGACCCGTATATGGCATCCAAACATTTCAGAAGACGGAGACATCTGTTTGAGTCTATTGAGGGAAAGTTCAATCGATGGCATGGGTTGGGCGCCCACCAGAACCCTCAAAGATGTTGTTTGGGGTCTCAACTCATTATTCACTGTATTATCACATTTATGAATGTCTTTACTGGTAATTATGGTTTAATGATTAAATTATCACCAATTTGTAGGATTTACTTAACTTTGATGACCCGCTTAACGACGAGGCGGCCGATCATTACATGAGAGATCGCGATGGCTTTGAAATCAAAGTCAAAGAATATGTACACAAATATGCAAAATCTTAATACTTATTGAATCAATAAGTTTTATGATATTTTATTTATATAAATAAATGTTTAGTAAGTCTTTTTTAAAAATAAATATTTTACAATTAATTGGCAAATAAAATAAAATAAAATAAATGCAAACAATTGATGACTTGTAATGAATATATTGATTATTCGAGAGAGTGTTCAGCGATCTCTTCCAACTCAACCCTTTCAAAGTCCATTTCTCTTTCATAGAAAGCCAATAATCCTAAGAATATGACCGACAATATAATGCCAATGTTTTGAAGCCCCCAAATCTGAAGCATACTATTAACACCCTTTCGGGAGGCGTTTTCCATCGACCGGTTCATTGCACGCATTACATCCACGAGTGCCATATAAAGAAAAAAACCACCTTTTGGTTGGTTTAGAAAACTCGATATCATTAATATGCAATAAATACTTACCGGCCAAAGCAAATATATAAGGACTGGCATCCTCTGCTTCGTCACCTAAGAATATGCCGAGTGCTAGACCAGGATAGCAGGCACAGGCACACAGCAGGATATATAGGAAACTTTGTTTCATTTTCATTCCGGCCCTAATTAGTACTGCAAATGTACCCAAACGGTGAGCCACTTCTTCCAACATGACTGCCACTGAAATGCTAATTCCGGCCAAAATGTTTCGGTCAAAAGCGGCACCAATAGAGAGTCCATCGATAAAATTGAGAAGAGCATCGCCCAACACTATCATCCACGCAACTGTATCAACGGTAATGGTTTGCGAAGAGTTTTGATCAAATCGTTGACTTCTAACTCCGGGAACAAAATTAACTTTTGAATCAAGTTTTTTGGGATTTGTTTTTTGCTCCGTTTTATTGTTTTCGGATACGTATTGGTTAGGACTGACCGGTTTCATCACATTAACAGTTGATAGACATTGAAACAACTGTTCTCTCGTTGAATTGATAACTGCCTGAACACCGGAATTACTTTGAGTTCTTTGCATTTCAAATGATTCAGTTGTTGGTTGACTATCACTTAAAATTTGTTTTTGACTTAATGTCTGAGCTATAAACACATCTTTGTCTTCTTCCCGACCCAATGAGGGTCTCTTTCTTCGGCTTTTGCTTTTAAATACAGTTATTATTTTTAAACACATTTCGATGATATAAAATAAATAAATTCCGCAAAATATAAGAAATGTTCGCCAAAAGTATTCTCTATATTTGTCGTCCACGATATCAAATGCTTGCGGAAACAAATGCAAAATAGCACTTCCCTAATGTAAATTACAGGTAATTTCAAATATATATATATTGTTAGTATAATATAAAAATATAAAAACTTAGATATATATTACCGCAAGTCCTCCAACTGCCAGTCCTTCAAAGAGAGTTAATATTATTCTTCGAGCATTTTTATTCAGAAATGGTAACACTATTAGACCACCCATTGAGACAACTATGGAAAGTGTAACAAATAGTACCCCAAACCCCCAGACCCTCTCAATTGATGGCTCAACTAATTGTAGAGTTTGGTCTTCTTCGTCGTGTTGCGTGCGATGACTATCACCATAACAAATGGGTCGCGTCTGTTGGAAAAGTATAAGTGGACAAAGTCTGGCAATAATCTGATGAAAATCCATTGTAGACTTCGGTACGAGATCTAGCATTTCACTCGACGACAAGCACTCGGATGTAACCATTTGACACAACTCTTGACTATTCTTTTTTTTATTAGCGAATTGATCACATCCTAGATCTCTGTCATCCAATGGTCTTCCCGATCCTTTGCGAAGTTGTATGTCATGAAAGTATGCTATGAGTCGACTGACTCGGGATTCATTCAAATAGATTTTATGCGTCGGATCGAGGATTATATGACCTCTTAAGAGAATAAATCGAGTCATTCGCTCGACATCTTTAATAGTCGTAAGAATCGGTTCTCTTTCACTCTTTCCATCTGAACTAATATTCACGTGAATCTCTTCGTGTTCTTCCTCTGGATAATCAACACTTACCACAAAATGTATAATACATAGAGTAATAATATATAGAAATAAATTTATAAAATTCATAATCAATTTATAAATTTTCTTTACAAATAAAAGCTAACTCTTAAAAAATCAAGTAATCAAAAACCAATTAATAGTATTAAATTTATTATCGAAAAATGTTGTCTTAAAATAATATATGTTTTCGTTTATCAATTAATTATTAGAGATAACAATATAATAATGATTTATTAAACAAAAAATATACACTTGAAATTTAAGCTTTACTTTTGTTTGTTTATTATATTAAACATTTGCTATAAGGTTTGTAATCAAGATTATTATTATTATTATCACACTATATATTATAGAGTTTAGTTCAAACTTATTGTTAAATTATTTATTTTTGAGAATTTGTCATAAATTTATTAAACACATCATAAAATCTATACATCAAATTCATATTAGTTTTACATCCAAATATTTTTATCAAAATATAAACAATTTGTAGACTTATTTACATAAATTGAAGAAAAACTTAACAATGAAATCCATCACAGATTAAATACATAGCTATAGTTTTGAAAACTACCACAAGTGTTATATAATAATAATTTTGTTGTGATTATAGAGCTATTTAAGTCATTATATAAGCATTATATTTACAATCATCTTATAAAAAATAAGTTTCTAATACAATAAAATGATTTCACAATTTAGTGCTCTTTTTTTAATCAATTATATATTTATATATAACATACGATAATAAATTGTTAGGAATTAAATGATTTAATCGATAACTCGATTCACAAAAAGGCCTTAATATTTGTACATTTTTTTGTTTTTTTTTTTTGTTTTGTTTTTGGTTATATAATACACAGGAAATTACTGGTAATTGAGAGATTTATTCTTGAATTTGCTAACCAAATGTCTATCCGTTAGGTTATTCAAAAACAAGATTTTTAATACCCGTTTCGATTTCAATACAGTTTTCAATGACTTTGATTGGATCATCCATTTCATGATTGTGTCCGCTGTTGTCTTCACTATCATAGCCACTGTCCTGTCGGGTGCGCTCACAATCAGTACTTTTCTGTTGCTCTTTATTTGTCAAATCGTTTTTGCCATTCTTCCGGTTTTTCAATTTCAAAGCTTTTTTCTGGTTCTTCAATCTTCGGCCCAAAATACTAGAATTGGGTCGAAATACAGTCTTTGACACGTTTTCATTGAAACGGACGTTCTTTTTTGGCTTTTTGTCCAAATCTAAGTCATCGTCACTATACACGTCTTCATAAGACAATTGACTATCGAAGATGTGATCCAAATCTATTGGTATGACATCACAACTCGATTCCGAAACTGTCCGACGAATCCAATTATGAGAGTATTTTAATATTCCTTGAGTTTTTCCCTTCAATGTTAATACAATATATAGTTTACTAATAATTATTAAATATATTTCATAAACTTTTTAAAAAAGACTGTCAATTACCGGTAGTTATGTAATTGTAAAAGAAGTTATTTTATAACATTATGACCCATATTATGATAACCTTATTTAAAGTCTGGACATGTCATCAATAAATTTAAGTTAAATCACTTTAAGCCTATTTTTATTTATTTTATTACTATTAAGTTGTCTTAAATAATTAAACTAATAATACATTAGATATGTGTAAAACCGGCAAATTATTACAGTATATAGTAGTCATATAAATGTTATTTAATTATTAATGTTTATATGATTATCACAATTACAAGACAGTGGTATTTCAATAAAAATGCAAATCAATTCAATACCTCATTATTTGACTCAGAAATAGTACGTCGGGTTAATCGGCTTTTAATCGGTTGATTGTCGCCATTGTCTCGGCTATCACTCGGTTCGTTGGCACTCTTGTTATGACTTAAATCAGGTGATCCAGTCTTTTCGTGACTGTCACCATAAGATCCATTGTCTGGTTCTTTGTTTTCATCATTGCTGTGATTATCACAATCTGAAGACTCAACGGATTTATTGTTTCGGCGGTTTAACTGAAAACATATCAAACAAATCAAATAACGAAAAAATAAATTTGAATCACAAAGAAGTGGTCATACATTAAATTTTATCACTAGTTTATCGTTATTATCACTGTATTGGACATTGACTTGAGTTGAGTCGAAATGGCAAATATCGGTCACCACATTGTCTTTGATTTCTTGCAATTCATTTATCATACAATCAATAGTCGACTCATAAGTATTGCTCATATTTTCTGTCAAAATATTTAATTTCAAATCAAATTATTCACACAATTAGATAAATTTATGCATTTTTTTGTAAAAATCAAATCAATTGTTGTCATCACCGGTGATGACACTAATGCTGAGCCAATCTATGGCTAACATTGCAAACAAAAAGTAACCGACTTTTATAAATAAGTCAATCAAATAAACAATAAATGAAATTAAACTATAGTTTGCATACAAATGACAATCAATGATATAATTAAAATTAATGTCTAATACTTACGTTAAATACAAATCAAATAAAGTGTTGTAATGTAACTCTTGTAATGTATTGACGATTATTATACTAAATGTTATTCAAGACTGTAATCAAAACTCACGTAAAGTAAAGTATAGATCGGTTTAAAACACGTAAAGGTATAGCAAATGACTGACTCTATAGAAAACTATGCATTCATTCATTGATTGGACGAATTGAAAGCATTTATATCCTATGACTATAGCGCACGCATTCAATCATATTTTAGTACAAGTTTTCAAATTATTTATGCTTTCATTTAAATACATTTAAATTTAGATATAATTTAGATATAGTTTATGAAAAATATAGAAAAATTAAAACAAATCATCATATTATATATAGAGATACAAATTAACCATATTTTCATTTAATAATATCAAATAAATTCAATTATTTTAGTTTAAATGTTAATTTTATTATTAATACTATTTATTTATTCAATCAATATTTACATTCAAATGCTTTAATTTAATATCAAATTACTCTCAAAATGTTTACAATTTCTCAGTTTACAAAAATATTATCAATTTATATATAATATATATTTTTGAAAATACAGTAATATAACTACTTTATAATATTTTATAATAGTTATTAATTTATTATGAAGATTGTAAAATGTGACCATGGCTAATCTAACTACAATTATTGTATTTTTAAATTTATGATACCATTGCTGTCATAAAAATATTAAATTTCTTATAAATTTTTAATAAACATAGCCTTTACTAGTTTTGCTAATATTGTATTTTACTAACAAATGTTGTTTTTTTACAAATAACTGAAATTATAACAGAAATATAATAAATAATATAAAACATGATTAAGTAAATAATTTGATAAATAAATAAATTATAATCATTTGAAACAATATAAATATGTTGTCAATGGATGTGTCAATTATATCTAATGAATGAATATATTTGTGGAAAAATCAAGACTTTTATTAATACAATTCAAGTGATAATACAATTGATTGAAAGCTAACTTCCCTTAAAAATATAGTCCTTTGTATTAATGGTATCGACTAATCATTAAAGTGAAGGCTATTTCAAATCAATAATTTTCTCATAACTTATTAAAAAATCATATAATTTTGAAAATACATTAATATATATTTAATAATAAACTATTTTTAATCAAAATAGATGACAATTTTGTTTATTTTTTAATTATTTTTATTAATAGATATTTTTAATTTTGATTAAATATATGATTAAAATTATAACTTAAAGTTAATGTTTGAGTTCACACATACAGTACAGTACTTTACAAACTCATTGCAAACCTATAATACAAATAACAGTATATATGAATGAAACACGAGTTTAATAATATTCATAATATTTATTAATATTTTCAGTGTTTTAATGAATGAATGATTGATTGAATTGTAATCACAATTATTGTCAACACTTCCTATGGATTCAGACAATGAAAGTCAACCGAAAGGTCGACCCACTCGAGGAAGGGGTAGAGGACGCGGTCGACCACCCGGTAGACCAAAGAAGGCGACCAAAAGTACTAAAAAGACTAACAAAAAGACAATCATTGAAAGCAAAGACATCGATGAAAATTCATGCGAAGACATTGTTAAGACCAAAGTTGAAGTCAAGACTGAAGAGTTTGATTGTATGTCTAATGTGTTGATTGAATTAGATATTCATTTATTTGTTTTTTTTTTGAGTTTAGTTAGCGATGATTTGGGTTCAGATCTGCCATCACATTCAATCTCTTCATTTGTAAATCCTGGCGCCAATCCATTGCACGGTAAAGAAGAACTCAATTGGAAATATAGGGTTAATCTGATCGGAGAGAAAGTAGTTAATCCACGCATTCATTGTTGCGAGAAATGTCTTCTTCCTATTCTTGTTTACGGAAGAATGGTTTGTCTTTATTATGATTTCTAGACATTAGTTATACAGTAAATGATTTGAAAATAATGGTTTGCAATGTCTGTATCAATAGATTGCGTGCAAACATGTGTTTTGTCTGAATTGTGCGAAACGGTATGAGAATCAGTGCCCGCGTTGTGGAGAAAAAGTATTGAGAGTTGAGAAGAGCGGTTTGGGTACAGTCTTCATGTGTCAAACGGAGTCCTGTAAGCGAACATATCTGAGTCAACGCGATCTTCAGGCACACATCCAACACAGACACATCAGGAGACAAACAAATACACTCAACACAAGTAATATCGCTAACGTAATACCGGTGCCAACTTCAGTGTCCAAAGAGCTTTCTTTGAATGTGACCTCAACATCGCGAACGGCCGCATATAATGCCACTTCATTCCAGAGTCCGATACCTGTGGTGTCTTCGCGATCTAATCTCATTACTGTTCCCATTCAGGATGAGGTGAGCACTCGTCGCAACTATATAAGTCAATCATCACCTATTATGTCCCCACAACAGCCTAATTATGTCTCACCACCAAACTATGGACAGCCAACCATTCAGTGGCCAGCAATGTCTACCACAAATAGTTTTGGTTATAGACCTCCTTCATGGACCCCTATCTCTCCCTACACAAACCCATACAACAGGCCTCCCTATTATCAACAATAATGTTAGTATTTATCTGGTAATATCATGTATTTCATTGTTTTATAAATAAAATAAATAATAATAATAATAAATTAATGTTTAATACTCTACAATTATCTTACATTAAATTTTGTGTTAAAATTGTTGATATATTATAAATTAATATTAATACTATTATATTAAATATATTAAAATAATTTTTAGCTTTAAAAGGCGATTAAAAATATTTAAAAGAATATCCAAATTTTGAGTTCAATATAAAACTAAGAATTATAGTATAGTATAGATATTTGTATAAAAGGCAGAGATTTGATATATAATTAACATTAGATTTGCATCACAGCTTCAATTCGGTCTTTTTTGGTATTTTTTGTCGACAATTTTGCCTGTTTTATGCGTCTATAAAAATAGTTAATATAACTTATATTATACACAAAATGCCATTAAAATAAATTTGCTTTTTGTTTGAGATATGTTTGTTTCCAAAGCGGCAAACCATAGAATTCTTCTCTTGTCATTTCCAATGCCTCCTATATTAAGACAATTATATAAATTAATTTTAATTCAAATGTATTTTCATATTAGTTATACAGTTATATCAGTATAAAACAAATATTAATAGTGTTATTAATAATGTTAACAAATATTTTGTATTTTACTGTACCTTAAAGTCATCGGCACTTAAGTACGATTCGAGTGACAATGGGTTGAGTGCTTCCGGAAGTGGTTTTTTACGTAATTCATCCAAACTATAATTAGTTCTGTATTGAGACAAAACTTCTTGTATTGAAACCATTTCTCCAGCTTTGCGACCGTCCTATTGGTTACAACAACAAAAGTTTATAAGGATTAACAATCGTTTTAATTAAGATTACTTTAATATGCAGATTAGACACATCCTGTCTGGTTGTCCACTGAGGAAACAGTGCACAAAAAGAGTTGGGTTCGAGTCCGGCACAAACAACATATCCATTTGGTGGTTGTTTACTGTTTTTGGCTATTTTTTGTTTTTAATTAAAATATTTTAATATCATATAAGTTTGATTTGTGATTATTATTATTTGATTACCGAAACAATAAGCGAGGGCTGAGTCGAGAGCATACTTGCGCTCTGCATTCCAACGAATATTCTGTGAACCAGTGGTTGTGTTGACTTCAGATTCATCGACGACTTGTTTAGTAAATGCATACTTTGATTCCCATAAAAATATTTGGCTTTCATTATCTAATAAGAAAAATGTTGGCTGTTGTGCGCTATAAAGGTCTTCTTGAGTGAAAGGATAAGGAGTCACGTAATCGCAACTCCTTTGCGAACACAGTATCTCTTTAGCAGTGAATTCTCCCGACGAAGAGCTTAAATGGTAAAGTCTTGGACTAAACTTATAAGTGAGTGGACTATCGAGTAATGAATAATAGAGTTTTCTTCGTTGTCTTCTATCATGACTTTCAAACAAATTCCAAAATTCTGATTCCTCTTCGTTCTCATTGATCTCTTTAGTCGTATAATTGACGTTTGGTTTTAAAAGTTCAGACCATTTATTTTTAATGAGATTTTCAATGGTTTGTCTCATCACTTGTCGAGTTTCATCCAAACACTTGCATCCAAACCAAACATATATCAAATGACTCGAAGGGTTAACAAAAGCAAAAGCTGTCCGACTTCTTAAACTTTGAACTTTAGGAATAACTTCAACAAGTGATGCCTCATTTGGCAAAACACCTCTTATGTAAAATAATCTCCATTTCTGACAATTAGTCATTTCTTTGTTTCCTCGTTTGCCATTCAATATAACGAGTGAACCGTTGAATATATTGAGAAAACACGGATCTTCATTCCCTTGTGATACCCGAACCTATAAATTCATTGATAGTATTCATTGATTTTTATATATTCAGACAGAAAAAAACTAATTAATGATTAAGTAATTATATAATTATTAAATACTGGTTATAATATTGTCATTAATTAAATTATTCTTATTATTAATTTAATGATTGGAGGTGTATATTGAAACAATAAATAATATTTGTTTTAATTAAATAAAAGGTTATATTATTATATAAGAAAATGTCAAACCTGTTGAGCTTTTTCTTTGTCTAATTCAATGGTCATCAGAGCTGAGGCTCCCTTTTCAGTGCTCTTAGTGTACAATCCGTGCCAAAAGAAATAGCAAATCCTATCTCTTCCTATCATTGAATGTCGCGATATATTTCCAGTTTTCAATTCTCGACCAACACGTGACAGTCGGTAATGCCAACGGACAACATAAGTGTCACCAGAATAAAAGTAATACATATCGGGATTTAAAAGTTCATGTTTTTCATAATCTGAAATTAGCCAACATTTGACATCTAATGAGGTAATGGATATATGTCTGCCTTCAAGTTCATCATCCCATCGAACTCCACGTCCTAAATGTGCCGTTTCTAAGATCATATCGGGTTCGTGTGCTTTTGATTCAATCAAAGATTTTGCGTCAATTGTGCTAAAATTATTATCAGAATAAATATTTTTAGGAACCGGTATTTCAATTTTCTTTGTTTTGGTTGCACTTGGAGTTGAAGGCCAGTTGACAAACTTGTCTTTGAATAGAATAGATTCCATGTTTTGACTGACTTTCATAAACCACGACCAATGCGGACGTTTCGTGTCTTTTTTGGTGATATTGAGTCCAAAAGGATTTATATCACATTCAGTATAATCATAGCCTTTATTCCAAAGATCTTTAGCTGAGTCCAGAGCGCACTTCTTTTCAACGGTTTGTGCTTTACTTCCGATCCAAACATACATTTCAGAGCCGAAGTCAAATACAAAACACTTTTCTGAGTCAAGCATTTCATATCGCGGTGTTTGACCCCAGAATGGTTCGTAAGGAACCAGTTGTTCATTATTTACTCGATATATCATATTTGTACCAATAATTGTGTCCTCATATATCTCATCTTCTTCTGGATTGTTCGGAAGATTTATACAACTTTTAAAATTTGCATTCAATTGCTTTAAAAACATTTCATTTGTCTGTTTATTAATTGATTCTTTTTTCTGACAGTCAATGATAACTAAACTATTAGATGAACGAAAGCAAAGATCTTTTTTCTCTTGTATTTGGTTTGCAATTTCCAGTGCTTTGGTTTTCTCAATAACATTGGAAAACTCTCCGATCCAAACATATATACTATCTCTGGACACAAGTATGTATGAGTCGCCGCTATTCATTGATTTAATGGTCGGTTCCACTAATCGGGTCTGAGCTCTTCGACGCCCTTTTATCTGTACTAACATTAAAGTTTGCATTGAGTTCGGCATATCATAGCTTTTCCACGAATCTCTAGGAGAGGAACAAGAACTTCGCAATTTTCCAGCTAATCCTCTAATATCCTCACGAGTGGCGAGTCCGGCCAAAGCTGATGCCGCAAAACTTGACGATTTGACCAAATCTTTGGATCTCTTTGGTTTCACATTATTTTCATCTAATTTATCATCTATTTTGTCATTTTCTTTACTATCAAATTCAACATAAGAATCGACAATAAAATCAGTTCTTTCACTTAAACTTCGAATTGGATTTGTTGTGGCCTTACGTCGGCCCTGAGGTTTGACTGATCTCTTTTGAATTAAACTGAAAATGATATTAAAATAATTAATAAACTGTTTAAATACAAACCTAAATATCTTACAGATCTGACATTCCGGTGCTTAAGCTATCAAAAGATTCATTACTTATAATCTCATTTCTATCACTTTTGAAAGTATCAATAGAAAAGAATGAATTGAAATTGTCGTCATCTGTTTTAAGAATTGGCAAAACAACTGGTTTATTATCATTTAGTTTTATACATTGCGAATTTGAACCATTAGTTTGTGGAATCACCAGTTTTGGAACAGCTAAAGAGTGTCTTAATTGTGTGTTAAGCATTTCAGCAGTTTTTTCGCTACGAAAAACCGTAGCTTTTGGTGTCTTTCGTTGAACATCTGGTATAACTTTAACTGGAGTGTCCTTTTCGAGCATTTTTCCCTCCACTGTAAACTGTTTGACATCTTTTTCTTGGACTCTATTCTTCCACTTTTGACTCGAATCTTCTAAGAGAGAGAGTCTGTCTGCAATACTTGTGGTGCGAACGCGTCCAACATTCTCATTAGATTTCACTCTTAATGTCACTTCTTTGTTATCACATTTAGAAATCCTTTTCTTCCAGCCTTCCTCTCCATTCTGTTTAAGAGCAGCCAATCGATGGAAAATACTTTGACCGACATCTTTGTCTGCTTCTGATTGTTCATCTAATTGGTCATCAATATTAACCAATTGATTAGTATTCATAACAATACAACTATTTGGTCGTTTTGTTTCCAATTGTCGATTATTTGCCAAAAACCTATCAAAACATCAAAATTATTGATAATTATAAATCTCTTAACTTTTCAACGAAAACCCATCAGAATTGAAGTCATAGCGAGAAATGAGTTTAAATAGAAATAAAGTGAAAAAGATTTGTGAGTCAGTTAGTGAAGTGTAGACTAGATTTTTGGCAGTTTTTCAAAATGCAATCTTTAATTAGATATTTTAAAAACAACTTTAAGAGTTTAGTTTTAAATTATATTTTTCTTAAAAGCAGTTCAAAATAACAGTAAATCACAAGTAATAAAAAAATCATTTACATTATTTTTAATAAATACATTATATAAATAGTTTAATAAAATAATATATATAAATTAGTGTATTTAAGTAAATATATAGAAAAAGTATACAAAATTTTTAAATCATTTTCATATAATTAAAACAATTTTATAATTATTTTAATACATATTTTTTTTTAAAAATCAATCAATGGTTTAAACAAATTTTAAAAATCAAATATTTAGTTAATTTCATCGATATATTAAATTTATATTTTTAATATAATTACAGCATTCATAATTATATCAAAAATTTTGTTCACTTTTTTAGTTATAGAAAAATTTCAAATAAAATAATTATATAAAAACAGTTAGAATTTTTTACAATAAAGTCAATTACAGTATTTAATAAAGTTATCAATAGATAAGTTTAAAAGTTTGATAATATTAGTAATAATTGATTTCATAATTATTGAGTGTTTTAGAGTCAATAATTGAATTGAGAAACACTTCGTTTATAATTTTTTTACCTTTGATTTGGTTTTTCATCTTTTGTTTTGAAAGCACAAGAATTGTTTGTTTCAATGGAATTATCATTATTTTTGTGATTATTATCACTGCAAACACCACTGGACTCATGTGATTGCGACTGAGTTTCGACACTACTATTGGCGGAAACACTTAGATCCACATCATTGTTATCATCACTCGATGAGGAGTCAGTGTCTGACAAATTGATCTTTTCATTTGATCCAATGCTCTCTGACTTGAGTATTGATTTCACTTCAGATTTAGTGTCAAAGTTAAGGTCGGATTTTTTAAGAGCACTTTTGACTGGTTTTGAGTCGTTCTTGTGTCCAGTTTTAAGAATACTCTTGACTTCAACTTTTGGATTCATCACAACTGTCTTTTGATGCTCTGATGCAAACTTGAGAATACTTCGAGTTCTGCTATAATATCCATTGCTATTATCAGTTGGACTGTTAGCTAATTGACTACTGGAGCCGGCATTTGAACCATTTGTTCCATTGTTTATATTCAGACACTTTTCAATCTCGTCTTCAATACTTAAGTTCTTTTTGAGTATAGGTTTAGGCAAACTCTGGTCATCTCTCGATTGGACAAACTTCTCATCAAAACTCTTGTGTTTGAGTATTGAATGAATTTTCGATGGCTTTGAACTCGAAGAAGGCGTTGAACTGATATCTATTTCTTTAGTTATCAGAAATTGTTTTGGATTTCGATTATCAGACTCTGATCCCAATGAATGACGCTTAAGAATAGCGTGTTTGGAAAGATAATCAAAGCTATCCTTCTTTTTAAGAATCGATGGCAATGTCTTAATCTCAATCTCGTCTAAACTCTTTCTTTTAAGAATTGGCTTCACATCTATAAAAGACACACTTTGTTGATGATTGTCAACACTTTCGGACTCATCTAATCTGTTGATCGATTCGGTGTCAGTATGTGTTGTGTGTCTGTCGACTAAATTGTTAATCTCTTGGTTTGTGTGACAATCAATCTCTTGTTGTTCACCGACTCTATTGTCGTTAAAGTCGTTGTCGTTGTTGTTGTTATTATTATTGTTGTTGTTGTGAGTGATATGACATTTGTTGGGAAAAGACATGTCAGCCGTGGGTATCCATAAGGCAGTCAAACGGCACGATTGGCGTCACTTGTGATGAGCTGTACTTCAGGTCAGACCTAACGGTAGTTAAACTCAAAGACAACTCAGTCTTCAATATAAACGACAATTCAATGGCAATACTCAGTCATTGACCACACATTCATTGCGTATAACAATAACAATACACTCATTGTTGCCCCCAATAGACCCCTAATGTGTTATTCAATGACTAAAACCCCACTGTTTGGTACAACTGTCACAACATATCCTATAAATGATTGTATGTTTGCATTGCATTCAATACTATCTTTTTGAAAGTTTTAAAATAAAAAAATTAATTTAGTGTTCAATTCATACATTGGTTTCTCATTTGATATTTGTTTAACTTTTGTCTCAATACTTGTACATACAGTACATGTAGTATATTATAGCACTAATACATAATATTACATAGTATTACATAGTATTACATATTAATAATAATTTTGATGACATATCCCAGAGTTATCCCGGAATCCGGATAACTATAAAATTTCATATTATATTCCTATTACTTGTAGTACTAATTACTAATCCTATAGTTTTATTATTTTTATAATAACTTTTATGTATTTTTATTATTAAATGTAATTCAATAATTAAAAAAGTGATGCAGTTTTACAATTAATCACTGAATACATACACTGTATGTACAGTAGTATAACGTAAACCATTATCTTATTAATGATTTGAGCAAATATTGAGACAATTTATCAAATCTTTTATTACTATTATCTCATGTATTGTTAATTATTGCTTATTTTAACAAATTTTTATATCATATTTAAGTACAGTATTTAATAAACATTTAATTATTTAATCTCATATCTATTATGTCTAAAATTAATAGTAAATATTTTTATTTAATTTTTTAATTGTCAAAATTAATCCAAGTATTATGTATTTAAAAAACTATAATATTTTATACATTTAATGCAATAATAATTTTATTCAATTTAAGTAATTAATTAATCACGAAATAATTAATATAATTAATTTGGAAACTAACAACCTTGATCATTTTTGTTTATCGCAATTGCAAATATGTTATTACTTAATTTAACAGTTATTATGATAATATTTCATTTAAGTTAAGTAAATGTAATTTTAAATTACTACTGTATTTAAGTAATACTAAAAAAATACAAAATATTTTATAGCTTCTCTTTAATTTACAATAACTTATATTTACAATACTGTTCTGTATATTATAGTCTATAATTTATAATATAATAATTATACAATAGATATACATTTATTACAATATGTAAATATAAATTTAGTATATACTATATAGGGTAATATTACATATGTATATATACTTTTCATAAATTTTAATACAAGTACTTGTTTGTATTGAACACGATTTACAATTATATTATTTAAAAATAAAACTTTATCCCTGATATAGATATAATATAAAATATATTTTATCAATTGTCAAATTTTGATAAATAAATCTTATTTATGTCAATCAAATTGTTGCCAACTATTTATTTTTAGAATATTCAATATAATAATATCATTATTAATAATAATTTTATTTTTATGCTATTTTAAGCTAAAGGTAATAATATTTAACATGTTTTTAATCGACAATAAGTCTCTAAATCAGTACTTTATAATAAAGATGTGTTTTTTAATACTTTTAGAAAAATATTTTTTTATTAAAGCATTTTAAGACATGATTTGACAAAAAGTTTATGAGAATCGCATTATTAAAGTGCTGTCAAAATAAAGTTTTAAAGAGTTGTCCCAAAAATCATAAATATTTGTGTCATTTGATTGATAATACTGTTTATCTTAGTATAAATATAACTGCAAGTCATATAACTTAATAGTAAATGTGCTGTTTTTGTGACAAATAAATTCAATTATTTTCAATGAAAAAACAGAAAAACAATTTGATTTAATAAATAAAATATATTTGATTTCAACTGAAATTAAAGTCGATTTCTAAAGTTTGTAATATTAATAGTATTGTATTGAATGTAATGTAAATTGAGTTCAATCGTGTAGTCAATGGCATAACATATTGAAAACAGTAGTAATACTGTAGTAATGCATTCAAATTGAATGTCAGTTATATTATAGACTTGTGTTAAGTATTGTCTCAAACAATGTACGCATTAATGCATTCAATCAAACGTTAAGTCAAACATCAATTAATTTGTTGTTTAAAACAATTGTTTTGTTATTTTTAAATCATTTGCTATCAAAACAAATCTGTTATTTAAGTGACAAAGTTATGCATTGATTTGATAACCAGTTATGTCTTATGTCAAGAGTTGCCAAACAAAGCCTTCAACTGATGCAGCGTTAAGAAGAAGGAGTGCTTTGATTGTTAAATCAGAAGATAATATCAACAATCGATATAAAGCTAATCTCAAACCATGCCATACAAGAAGTGACGCCATCACTGAATTGGAGATTATTTATGACAAACTTAATGAACAACTTTTAGACAGTGATCTCTTAGACAGAGCTGAGAGAAGGGATCTACCGATTAGACATCAGCTCTTTTGGACCAATGATTACAATAATAATGATATCACTGATAGTGTCGATCGGAGACAAAAGTATGTCAACAATGATAGCAATAACAATGCCATCGATTACGAGTCACTAAATAAGAGGCGATCGATGGCCACAATTGAAACCTTGGAAGCGCTTCGCAATGATTACGGTCCGAGTGGTAACAGATGGACAACGATGTCACGGACTCCACCCGCGCGACGGTCAGCCATTCCGGACATTATTAAAGATGACTTTGCGTTCAGAAAGTATAACAAAAGTCTAAGTCATTCGTATTTGTGTGCAAACGATGTCATCAAAGGATTCAATTCAATCAAAAGGATTAATAATAATAAAAACTATTCAATGAGTTATTTGTTAATGTCTTCATCTGATGATGACATCTATTATAATAATCAATATAATAATAATAATAATACAAATTATGATGATTTGACATATTTATCGAAAGCTAATATCAAAGATGATGACCTTTCTGGCCGTTGGATCCGTCAATCATCAGCCAATAACGTAATACCACGACATCCACCTTTTGGTATTCCCAATAATATTGTTTGCCATTCTTCATCTAATGACTATATTAGAGCCGAATTGGATCCAAAAGAGTCAAACAAAGTACGATTTCGATGTAAATCATCGATTCCTCACTTAATTCGCGACGATATGGCCTTTCGGTCGCTTCGAAAGGATTCAAAAGTTTCGGATAATAACTGTACGCCTAATATCTCAATTCCACCGAAAATGAATTCATATCAAGTCTGACATTGATTTAGTCACTGATGCCATCAACTATTTGATCGTTTAGTCCAATACTGAAAATGAATTACTGATGAATTAATTGCCAAACTTTAATTTTTTTATAATCATATATATATATATTGAAATTATTGATTATATTTAAAAAATAATTTTCATATTTTAAAATGAAATACTTACGGTATTTTTAACCCTATTTTTTATATAAAATAAGTTACAAATTTTAATGTTTTTTTGTTATCAATTATACTATTGTTGAATTTGTTTACACGCCTTAAGCTTAACTTTTAATGAACTTAAGTAATAATAAAATCTAAAATTAATATAAAAATTGAATTAATACGTGATTTTTACAAGTGTTAAATAATTTATGATAAAATAATAATACAAGTATTGCATACTTTGATATAACCTGTAATACAATTTGTATAAAAATATCACATAATATATGAACACGTGATTGCAATGCAAACACAGTATTGCAATAAAAGCGGTAAATAAGTAATGAATGAATGAAAACATTGAATGAAAACAACTGTTTGATTGTATGTCTTAAGTCCTAATGGATGGACACGAGAGACGAATTAAAGCAATCGATAACAAGACAGCAAAGACCATCTGTTCGGCACAAGTGATCACTTCGATAACAAATGTGGTCAAAGAGCTGCTCGAGAACGCCATCGACGCCGAGGCCACTGTCATCACTATTCGGCTCAAAGAGTTTGGTAAAGATATCATTGAAATCACTGACAATGGCATCGGAATTGATGAACAAGACTTTAGTAATCTATGTAAAAGACATTTTACATCTAAACTCAATGACTTCGAAGAGTTACCTTTCATTACATCGTATGGATTCCGCGGCGAAGCACTCAATTCATTGGCCAATATGTCTGATCTGTTGATTCAAACACGACATCTGAGTCAAGCTATCGGATCCAGTCTTAAGTTTGACTCGGATGGCAATGTTATATCACGAGAAGCTGTTGCCCGAAATGTTGGAACAACTGTTTCAATACAAAACTTGTTTTACAAGATTCCTGTCCGAAGAAAAGAGTTTCACAAAAATATTAAGAGAGAGTTCGACAAAATGATTCGTCTTGTGATTGGATACTGTGTCGGAACAGTTGGACTAAGGATTAATTTGACGAATCAAATGAATAACAAACCGAAACAAACGCTACTCTCGAGTCCCGGTCTTAGTACTAAAAACAATATCATTGAAGTGTTTGACTCAAAACAATTGAATCAATTAATTGATTTCAATGAATGCCAACAATTGTGTGGAGAAAGTGAACAAACGTTAAGAATATCGGGACTCATATCAAAGTGTGACACCGGTTGCGGCCGCGCGGCCACTGATAGACAGTTCTTTTATGTTAACCACAGACCATGCGATGTGAAGAATATCCAAAAGTTTATTAATGATATCTATCGGACATTTAATCGAAATCAATATCCATTTATTTTAGCTAATATTGAAATTAACAAGAATTGCGTTGATTTTAACTTATCGCCCGATAAGAGACAACTATTGATTGCCAACGAAGACCAGATATTTGCCATAATTAAGGATTTGTTGTTTCGATTGTATAACAAAGAAACGAATTGTCAATTAACTTCAATGACTAAATTCACTTCAAACGTTAGACCAATTTCTTCATTAGAAAGATCAGTAGATGAAGAAGTAACTGAAATGACGTCTCAGCCATTGAACATTCCTCGATGTCGATCGCCATGTGATTCACTATTTAAAGAGATTAATCGTGAAGCTGTTGTCGTGACGCCTCCAATAACTCCCAGAATAGATACAGAGATTGAGAATACATCTAAAAAATCAAATAATAATAATCCGAAGTCTTTTACAACAGCTATGAATGTTTTAAATGAACATATTATTCATAGACCACCAGTTAGAGTATCCAATGAATCTTCTTCTAACGTTTCTCATGTCATTCAAAGACAATCAAATAATATTATACCAATTGATTCTAATAGTAGTTATCAAAATGCCTGTCCATTGACACAAGTTTCAGTTCCTATCATTGTTAGAGAAGTACCAATGAGTTCTCAGTCTGAAGTCATTACTTGTGGTCAATCGAATAAAAGAAGTACTGATAGTCTGGATTCTTCTAAGCCTAAGAAGTGTATGACTGAGTGTTCAATAATGATTGATGACGATTGTGATAATGATTATAATGATAACACTATTGGTAATATAGTCGACATAGATATTGAGTCAATTAAAGCACAGTATTTAAAAACAACTTTGAAAAACAATGAATCGACAATTGATAATAGATTTACTGCTAAAATTCAATTATCTCAGAACGAAGTGGCAGAAAATGAATTAAATAATGAATTAAAAAAAAGTTCATTTGAAGAGATGCTAATTATAGGACAATTCAATTTGGGATTTATTATTACAAAACTATCTAATGATCTGTTTATTGTCGATCAACACGCGTCTAATGAGCGCTTCAATTATGAAAAACTTCTGGAGGAAACAGTTATTGAGAACCAAAAACTTGTTGCACCGCTGCCTCTGGAGTTGAGTTCAGCCAACGAACAAGTAGTTATTGACCACTTGAATACATTCAAATCACTGGGATTTGGTATTTTTGCCGATGAAACTGCAAAACCAGGACATAGACTTTATTTGGCAACTCTACCCATTAGTAAAGAATGGACGGCCGGTAAGGAAGATATTGAAGAGATTGTCGGAACAATAATTGAAACACCAATTGAATTGTTGGCTAATTATAAACTGAATGGTTTTAAAAAAGTAATCGCTTCCAGAGCTTGTCGTTCAAGTGTAATGATTGGTGAGTCTCTATTTAATTCTCAAATGAAAACAATTGTTACACAAATGAGTCAATTGATGAATCCGTGGCATTGCGCTCATAACAGGCCAACCATAAGACATTTGATTAACTTATCTAACATTTCGATGCTTTCAAATAATTGTAATAATTATTAAATTGTTAACTTAATTCATTTATTTGTTTATTTTTGGCAAAAATTTGTTGAATAAATTGCTTTTAAAAAATTGGTAAAATATTTACAAATTATATAAATAAATGCTAATAAAAAAATAGTGTAAATTATTTGGACGGTATTGTGATTTGATTGCTGATTAAATTATTATTGAGAGATGACATCTTTATTGAATTAAAAATAAGGCTAAAAATAATGTTACAAATATTGTCACATATCCTGGTATTAAGTGATTGGATGCCAACTATTTGACAAAAGAAATTAATTAAATAGTTTAATAAAATATTAAATAAATATTATAAGTAAAATAATAACAAACCGTTATATAATAGTTACATCGGTCACCATTACAACACTCAACACATTCCCAATCGTTATACCAAATTCTGTCACACCTTTTGGTTACATTTCTCATTGCATTTTCACATAATTTCTGTTATTATTTTTTTAAATGTTTTAAATTTAGTTAATTAATTGATTTAGTTATACATATAATAGGATACAATAGGATCTCATATACGATAATACCTTTGAAGCGCATCGCTTTGATACATAAAATTGTTTCTCTCCTGTCGGCGCCCAATAGGGTGTGCCTGGATTTGGATAGTAAATGAAATTTATAATTAATAATTAACTAATTATCAAATATCAAGTCAATGGTATGTCTTGAGTACTGACTTCCCCAACGAACTTCCGAAAGGCATCGGTCTTCGGTTAAGTCACACGTTCTGACCGTTTCCACGCATTTGTCTTTATTGTTCTCCTGATTCTTACAGACATAACACTCAAGACATCCAACTATTATATATATCATTAAAATAATAATTTTTATTAATTATAAGCAACAGTTATATTAATAATGTTAAATGTGTTAATAAAAATTGATTGATTGATACCGTTGTAAAAAGTTAAGAGACAATTGATTATCAAAACTTTGACAAATAAATTAAATATGAGATTCAAATTCATTGTAAACACTTATTAGAAATATTACATATTTTTTAATTATGATTATTAAAAATATGAGATAAATATAAAAAAATAAAAATAAATAACAATTGTTTGGTTTAATGTGAGGTTCAAACACGAGCCACACCTGTATTAGTACTCAAGACTCGCCTACCTGTGCCTCAACTCAATTGTATAATAAACCATAACATTAGTAGTTATACAACACTATTGCAGGTAAGGTTGCCATTCAGGTAATAAATATTGATGACTACTAAGACTGTTCACTAATTTTATCAATTATTTAAATTGTTGTTTTGTGTTGATTAACAAAAATAACTTTAATTATTTAAATTTTAATCATTAGCTAATTCATTAATAATAAGAGTTAGAAATTATTTACAATAAAAAGTTTATTATGTTTTAGTAGATTTATAAACTTACAGTATTATCATTATATTTGTCAAAAAAAAACAATTTTATAACTTATTAACAATAAAGTGTATTAGCTATACATTGATATTACAAATAAAATTAATTAAAAAAAATTAACAGAAGTACAGTATTTTCATTTATAAATTCAAAATTTAAGTTCAAATTTTTATTTAATATAATTTAATAATAAATTGCTATTTTGCATAAATTGTTTATATACCGTGTTATTACAATAGCTATTTGCTATTTTTCATCAAATGCTTTAAAAGGAGTAATCATATTAATATTATTATTATTTATTGAATATAAATAATAATATAATGGTAAAATTTTAATCAACTATTGTCAATTTTTTAAATAATTATTTACATTTTTAGTTTATTTTATCAATAATATTATTATTGTTTGATTTAGATATTGTTAGTTAACTTCCAAATTATTAATTAATTATTGGTTTGTCTCCAATTAAAAATCAATTGTTCATTGAATGACAAACTTGTGTTTTTTGGCACATTTTGAATCACACTCTTATTTATGATTAAAGACATTAATTATATGAATTGTTCAAACATTTGTTTCAATCGATAAGTTAGCTATAATTCAATTATCATCGAAAAAGTTTTTTAAACTAAAAAATTTCTTATTATATGAAAAACTAAATTATTATACAAATTAATAAATAATATTAAATTGATATTGTATTGAATGGATTATGATAAATGGTATATTTTATATAAAAAAAATAATACGGGTCAATTAATTTGAAAACATTATAATTAATAAATGGCAAAATAATTAGTGATGAGTAGCTAAATGTGTGATAACCAGACAGACCATAACCATTGTTACGATTGTGATAATTGTGTTTTGTGTGGACACCAAAGCAAGTGCTGAATCTTTATTACATCCATCAGTTTCACAGCAATGTATGCAATCGTCGTCATTGTTTCTGCACTGGTCTTTGAATTTTATGAAATCAAGTTTCGGGTCCCGTAAATGACACGGAGCTAATGCACACTCCTTTTTAATATGAAAACCATCCGGTGCTGTCAAATGCAAATTCAAATTCAAATTTTACTTTTAGATAATTATTTTTATGATAAAAATTACATTAATTATACTTWATTACTATAATTGATTTAATTATTAAAAATATATAATTAATATAAAAATACTTACGATTCTTAAACACTCTTGTCATACATCTATCGTATGCCTGATTTGATGGACAATCGACCAAATATTTGTCATCAATACATAAATTGTTATCATTTGTATGACAAATATAGCATTTCAATGATAATGTCATTTCAATCAATGCTTTATTGAACATAAATTAATAATTTGAATTAATTAATACTTTCAAAATTAATTATTAGTTAGTTTAAAGATAAAAACTTAAATAAAACTATGATATTTACAGTATATATATATATGATATACCAAAAGAAATATATAATTTAATTGTCTCACCTATTAAAATGAACAAAATATAAGATATGTTTATATTAGTCAATGATATCATTGTGTAATTTTCACAGAATTTTCAATATTAGTCAATAATTAAAAATTTCAATTTAATCATTTTATTAATTTATTAAAATTTGTTATAAAATGTTATATACAATTAGATATACAGGAAACTTAATAAAGATAAACAATAAAATAATATCTAATATTTATATAAAATTGACAAAAATACATTTTCAAACAAAAATTGTATTATTGTCAGCAAAGGCTCATTGAATTGAAAGGATGGCTGAAATATAAGGAAAACAGGGATAGAGTTTGCACTTAAAGTGGAGGATGTGATGATGTGATCCACGCATCGCAACATTTGAATCGATAACATATTATATCATAATATCTCTGAAGTTTGAACTAAAAATCCAATGAAAATATAGTACAATATATATAATCATTAAGATGTAGACCACTATAAACCTTAAGTCTGTATAAAAATTCAACATTTATTATAAAAATATTTTGTATTTTATTTTTAGTATATATATATACACTAATCTAATATTGTAAAGTACATTAAATAATGTATATTCAAAATAATTTGTTTTATTTATTTATAAATTATATTCAAAAGCAATGAATATTATTCTCATATAATATTTGAATAATTTTTAAAATCTTCAAAAATACAAATTTTATTGTATTTAAATCAAATAATGTATTGCATGTTAGATATTTGATTTCAAAAATAATATATTTTGTCACATATTTGTATAATAGTAACTACAGTATAGCGCATAGTATTATATTACTGTACAGTATATTGTAGATAACATTATTCATTTAATTAAAATTAATTGAAATAATTTTTTAAAATATTTATATTAAAACAAAAATATGAATTTTTAAAGTATACCAATATCTAAAATTCAAACAAAATATTTATTAAATAAYAATTTATTACTTTAATTTTTTTTGTTTAATATTATATAAATTAAATGTAATCCTTATATTTAATATAAAAATTATTTAAATTGAAATTATTATTAACAATTTAAACACGCTTTTAATAAAATCAACAATTTATATTTATCATATATAAAAATTGTAAATATAATCGAAAGTGTTCCACATTTTGATAAATTAAAATAAATATGAAATCATGTTAAATATCAAAATCCTATATACTCTACAAATTAAAATTTTATAACTTATTTAAATAAAATTGAATCTAAAACCAAACCAAACGTATCAAATGATCGGATTTGCGTTTTGATGGTTCAATGAGACCAATGTATTCAAAATCTGAAACTGAATTCAAAAAGCGAACAATATTTTCATTTTTCTTTTCAATAAATTTTGCTTTCTTTGGACTTTTATGTGATGACTCCGATTGGTTTGAAAATGATATAAAATTGTTATACATATCATACATATTAATAATTGAATGATTTTTATTATATAGAGAATAAAGTCGGTGTAAATCAGTTTGCGATGACTTCGAGTCAGATAATGTCTGCATTAAATGACTTCTTTGATCGACAAATATTTGATTTTTTATTAAATCCAAACAATCAAAATACATAATTTGATGAAATGAGTTGTCAATTGAATTTTTTATTTCACTTAAAGTATCCTTAATTGTATCGATTGTTACGTTTCTCCACATTTCAAAAGCCGATAAAACTTTTTGTTTATTTAATGGTTTGATTGAATCTTTCCATTGCGAACGAGTCTTAAATTTAGTTAATTTATTCTTTACATTCATTAAATCCATTTTCTCGATCACCACAGTTGGTTCCAAATCAAGTTTATCTTTAATTTGAATCAATTCTTTTAGTCTTAATTTCAATACAGCAATCATTGGATTTGTTTCATCGTTAAGTGAATTTCCATTTAAACAAAAACTTAATAATGAATTCCAACGTTCTTTTGAAAACCGATTCAATTGATCCAAAATGTCAGTAAAATCATAAGTATCTTTGAATAATGTTATATAGAAATTAACTAATTTTGTTTCATCAATATGTCCATCAACTAAATATAATACAATTTTTAAAGTTAATACAATTTGATTGTTAACTGACTGAAAATGTGTCAATTTATTGATAACTTCTTTTATAAATTCTTTATCATTCAAATCATAACTGATATTCAGTTTATCTCTTAATACTTTCAATTCATTTAACTCAATATCTTTTAGATAAGTCTTTAAAGAACTAATTGATTGACAAAGTAATGCTAATTCATTTGTCTGGAAATGTTTAAACACTGAATACTTTATAATATTTTGAAGACTTATAATCGAAGAATTAAATTTTTGGCACATTTTGAGCATAAAATCCAAAACATTTGGACCCAATTTGAAAGACAATGAAGAATCGACAAATAATTTACATATTATTTTGACGATTAATTTTTGGCCACAAATAGATTGAAAATGATTTACGTATAGATAGTCAGTTGCTTTGGAGGGCAATAAGTGCTGCAATGAAGACGTTTCATTTGATTTGCTTATTATTAATATAAACGGAAGTTTTTGAATGTAATCTTTGATTATAAGAATCAAAGTAGTGATCATTGAGTGATCAAAACTCTCAATTTCATCAAAAAACAGGACAATCGGCGGACAAAAGTTATTAGTATTGGCTTTAATAACACGTTCTTCATATATCTTAAATAATGATTCAAATGTCAGTGATTTCAATTGAATTTCAGTTAAATCGGCTCTTTTAATGACATCTTCTGTAAGAATTGAATCGCAAATTGTTTTAAATACTGAATTAATGGTTGAATTTTGTTTTGCGTTGATATAAGCAACGGATGAGGTTAAGTCTTGTATGGTTTCAATCAGTAGATCACATATGAAGTGATGTTCACTTGAGTTCATTCCTAATAAAAGCAGTTAATAATTAATAACAATTAAACTTAAATCTATGACAATAAATGACAAACCAATTGATAAGAGAGCCGTCGGAATGAGGCCAACACTTGGCGACGATTTAGTGTCAAAATTATTTTCTCTCATCTCATTAGTGACACAATTATTGGACACAAAATTATACAATGAATTCATAAGAGGAGATAACATATCGTCTCTAACTTTAGTGATTTGTTCATCAAATCTATTGAACCATTCGGTTATCAAAGACTTATGTTTGACGACAAACGATGCGTTTATCTTCTCTTCTTTCTTCTTCTTCTGTCGTTTGACACAATTAGGTGTCTTAGACTTTGGTCTTACATAATGACAAATATTTGATTCACAACTTTGTGAAGACATTATGACTGAACAGTTGTGTTGGAGTATTAATTAATGACTTTTGTGATCAAATGTGGTGACAATTGATGACAATTAGTGACAATTGTTGTCACGTGTTGTGTACAGTAGTCGTCAGTTTGTCGGACAAACACAAAGACAAACACAAAAAGAGCGCAAAATTATTAACAAATGTATTGGCATTTAAAACACATGTCTTTGACTATACATACTATACGTCACACCATTTACTCCATACTACTGTCCCCTCTATACTGTCATCACTGCTAATAGTGTATCAAAAACAATGACATAATATATGGACACAATTATTGGCTAACATTGACCTCTATTTTAAATGATAAGAATAAACTCGATTTTTCAGTGAAAGTCATATGAAATCCAATTGAACTTTAAGTGACATTTGATTTGATATATAAATTAAAAACATTTATTAAAGCATTCAATGATTTTCATTGAAATACAGTGTCATTAATAAGCAGTCATTAAGTGAGTGATTGTCGACTCAAACGCATTGCAAATCACTTGTCGTTTGTGTCCACTATTTGTGTCACAACTGTTGTCTCAATTTAGACACTAAATCGCCGCTAATTTTAAGGTAAGTCTAGATTTTTAAAACAAATTTTAAAATAAATGTATAAAATATTAAAGCTTTAAAATGAGATATAACTATATGTTTGTTATTTGACATTGAAATTAATTTAATCAATGATTGTCTTATTAATTGGTTTTTTAAAAGATATTATTTTTAGACATTTACTGATAATTATATGACATTATGTATAAACACTTGTATTAATAGTATAAACTGCACTAAAATTAGCTAACGATAAGAGTCTCACATTTTATCTCATATTATCCAAACATTTGATACAATTATCATAAAAATAATTTTTGATTCAATTTATTATACATTTTAGAGCCAAACGTTTTTAAATTTATTATTATTATGTAATTAGTATTATTTATATTAAAATTGTTATAATGACATGAATTAAAATAAATTGTTTTTCATCTATTGAATGAAATGCATAATAATTTATAAATTCAATGTTACAAAACAATGTGGAAATTTACTTTAATATATAAAGTTTTAATTAACAAATATATTTTATAGTTAGTGAACATAATATTTAAATTTTAGGATTATAATAAAATGTAAGATAATCGTTGAGAAAATAGTTATAATAAAATAAAATTAATTTGATTTAACGCTTTATTGATATAATTTAAGTAAATATTTAATTTGCAATATTCTCTGTCATAATAGAAATATTATTAATATTATAGTGAAATAGACAACCATTTAATTGGTGTTTAATGAAGTAATCCTTGAGTTTTTTTTGTGTTACTTTCCATTCAAGTCATCCAATGTTTTGACAAATATTTGATTTGAATATCAGACTGAACTTAGTTTTTCAAGTTTTTTTTGGTTACATCACTATTTGAATCAATATTTTATTTTATTTTTTAAATATGCTATTTATAAGTTTATAGTTATTTAACACGGATATATTTCAGCATTATTTACATATTATTTATAAATTTATATTATTATATTATTTAAGTATAAATACGAATCTAATTGACATAAAAATTGTCAAATTTTGCTAATCACAAAAATATTGTATTAATTTGATAAATATTTTTTAATACTACATATTTAACAATTGGATGTTTAAAACAATCTCTTATTGAATACAAGGCTAAGTTAATTGAGATCATTAAAGTTATGATTAATAATGACTATTATATCTATTGATTTTTTATAAACAATATTAGCTTTAATTATATTTTATATAATAAAAGTAATAATTAGTTTATAAATATTGTTCCGCAAATAGTTATATAGAAAGTCAATGAATTGACAATTTAATGCCTCATTGCAAATAAGATATCAGTTTCAAAATATTGTTTAATTTTTTATTTTGTTGTCAAAAAAGGAAATTTTATGATTTATATTTGATATTTAGATAACTTAAAAAATATCATTTTAAATAAAAATAATTTATAAACAAATAGGGTATATAATATAGATTTGTTTTATAATGATATTTTAATAATTTTAACAAACTTTTGGATTATTATTCATTTTTTTAAATTAAGTAAATTATTATTATTATTATAGTATATGCAAAATGTGTGTATAATCAGCATATTTCCCCTAAAAATATAATATTTTATAATTAATTAAAAATGATTGGTGATGATAATTGTGTAATTTGAATAAATGTGTAAATGTAATGTAAGTTTATATGTTTATATTAAGCTGTAATGATTTATGACGACATTTTTATTCAATTCACTGTTTAAACATTTTATACTGTATTTAGTATTACTTTCGGATAAAATATAACTTTTGTTTTACTTGTGTATGATATCTACTGAATATAAGATTTTTATTGAATTGATAAGCAATAGTCAATTAATTAAACTAATCTTAAGTTCAAAAGTTTTTATGTAATTGATTGAGGATTGGCTCTAATCTTTTGAATGCCATTCCTCTCGTGTTTTTTGGTTTGAAATTAGACTACTTTGAGGTATTGTCGCATTTAGTATCTGTCTTGCAGTCATTTAATTTGATTTTTTGTGGTTTTTATTGGAAATTAAAATTTGTTTAATATAATGCATAAATTACAAAATTTTACGAGTATTAACAGCGATAATTGGAAGGTTAGTTATATTGTATCTATAAAACAGTTGATTTAACTAAGCTATGAATTGAATGGTTTTGGTTAACGACATAAAATTGAAATGAATAGGAAATTAACAAAATGACGAACGAGTCAAACAATGGTACGGCTTTGGCCGTCAATCAGAGCCGACATCAGCGCAAAGTGAGCTCAACTACTGAATTCAAAGAGTTGACCAAAAGGGACGCTCAACACCAGTTGGCACAGGAGTTGGACAAACTGTTGAGAACAGCTAATCCTATAGAAAGACAATCATATGAAGAGGAGTTCAAAGGATTTCAACAGTTGTATATGAAATATCTTCAAGGAGTTGGACCGTCAGTTCAATGGGAAAAGATTGAACCCCTTCCTGAAGATGCTGTCAGAAGTTATGCATCAATGAAAGCGCCACAAAAAGATAGCATTAGACAAATGCTCAATCAATTAGTTGTCGTCAAACTTAATGGAGGACTTGGTATAAATGGATAGCATATTATTTTTATATTATTATTATTATCCTATATTTATAAATAGGTACATCTATGGGTTGTACTGGACCTAAATCAGTGATACCAGTGAGAAATGATTTGACATTTTTAGACTTAACAGTACAACAAATAGAGAATCTGAATAAGACATACGATGCTGATGTGCCACTTGTTTTGATGAATTCATTCAATACCGATGAAGACACACAAAAATTGTTACGTAAATATCGAGGATTTCGAGTTAAAATTTATACATTTATGCAAAGCCGTTACCCGCGAATCAATAAGGAAAGCCTAATGCCAATCGCACATTCAATGTCTGGAGACAACGATGCCTGGTATCCTCCCGGTCACGGAGACTTCTACCCGGCTTTCTATAAATCAGGACTTCTCGAGTATTTTATTAAAGAAGGTTTGCATTAATTATAATAAATCTTATATATAGTAATTAACAATTTGATTAATAGGTCGTCAATATGTATTTTTGTCAAATATTGACAATTTGGGCGCAACTGTTGATCTGAATATATTGAATTCATTGCTTGATCCAAACGAGACAAATCATCCTTCATATGTAATGGAAGTGACCGATAAAACCATTGCTGACGTAAAGGGTGGTACTCTTATTCAATATGAAGGACACGTTAGACTTCTTGAGATCGCACAGGTGCCTAAAGTACACGTCGATGAGTTCAAAAGTGTCCAAAAATTCAAAATATTTAATACAAACAATATTTGGCTGAAACTCGAAACGATTCAAGAATTAGTACAAATGGGAACATTAGATATGGAAATAATTGTTAATAATAAGCACTTAGATATTGGTTTAGATATTGTTCAGTTGGAAACAGCTGTTGGTTCAGCGATGAAAGATTTTGAGGGCGCCATTGGTATAAATGTCCCCCGAAGTCGCTTTTTGCCCGTCAAAAAAACATCAGATCTATTGCTAGTTATGTCAAACTTATATTCACTAAATAGCGGAACTCTGATAATGAATCCGAAACGAGCCTTTCCTACCGTGCCTTTAGTCAAATTGGGTGATTCGCATTTTGCTAAAGTACGCGAATTTTTGTCACGTTTTGCTAGTATTCCTGATATCATAGAATTGGATCACTTGACAGTTAGTGGAGACGTCACCTTTGGAAAGGGAGTCACTTTGAAAGGTATTATAATGAGTTTAATACATATTGGTTATACGTTTTGTAATTAATTATAATTGTTTTTATCCCTTATTAGGCACTGTTATCATAATTGCAAATCATGGCGATCGCATAGACATACCCGCCGGTGCTATACTAGAGTCGAAAATAGTTTCCGGAAATCTTCGTATTCTCGATCATTAATTATATATATAGATATTTTACTAAAATGTTATGAGATTTTGAAATTTTATTGATTTTCCGAAAAATGCATATCCAATCTAATATTTAAACAGATGATTGAATGGTTATATTTGTTTAATTTTTTAGATTTTATTATAATATTTTATTTCTAATTATTTACAAATTATAGTATTTTGTTTGTTTTATAAGGTTTACTTAGCAAATGTTTGATTCAATAAGAATAAAATTCAAATGTTTTACTTCAAAACATTAATTATTTAAATTCATTTGACAGTATTAAGTGAAATACAACTTTTTTATTATAATAGATTTTATTTATGTGATAACTACTGTATATAAATATAAGTGTGCACTTGTTATAGATAAAAAAAATGTCATTCATTAGATGAAATCATATGATGTCTATGACTCTGACTGAATATGTACTCAAAGAATAAATGAATTCTTTGATAAAAATGATGTCTTATTGTCGATAATGAGTTATCTTCGTCAGGATATATCTGAAACTGCAAAAGTGGTTCAAATCCAAAGGAGTCATTGTCTGTGTATTTACTAATTAGTTGTTTAATGAATTGCATTGAGTGTTGAATTGAAGCTTTTTCTGACAACAATTTTTTAAAAACATTTTTATATATTATTAAATAATAGTTAAAAACAAAACAAAACATACCATCAGCCGAACCATGAATTATTAATATGTGTTTTGTAATGAGTTTCTCAATTTTATTGATTAAATTAAGTTTATTATCAAAATTAATTGCCTCATATGATTGCCAAATGTTGAACAAATACTCATAAGTGACTACATCTGAAAATAAAAATATTTGTTAGTTGATGTCATACTTTATATATTAAATGATTTACCCATAAGTTTCCAATTAAGTACGGGTGAGACTAAAACTGCACAATTAAGTATATCACTGGAGGCCAGACTAGAAATGGCCACAAAAGCATCAATAGATTTGCCCCAAATGCACATCTTGTGTGGGTTTATGAAACGTTTGTCATCTTTGATATGTTTTATTGCAATCCTGTATTTGTCTGTATTTTCATTAAACGATTCATAATTGTTGTTAATCTTCTTGTGTCTGAAGTTGTCATTATTGCTTTCAATCCAACCGTAAATATAGTGATGTTTAGTCACCAAATAATGGGCCCAATCTATGGTATGTTTGCCACTCAAAACTTGTGTCTCATCGTCATTACTATTAGTCAAATACATGTTATATATAAGTCATTAAACAAATTCTAGCGTTTGTTTTGAGTATATCTTACGCTTCAATAATAAGCGGATATTTATCGACCACTTCGTCATCAAATTCTGGCGGAACTAATAACTTGATATATATTTCTAATAATTAAATATATATTTATATTAATATAATTATCATTTGTTTAAATTATTACCAAAATTATATATCTTATAAATTTTATACATTTGTTTGTTTATATCTATATTATCACAAAATAAGAGTAAATACCAAAGTCTTACATTTTAGTTAATCAAAATTAATTATTTTAGTTATAGAAAGATAGTATAAAGAAAATAGGAAAAAATAAATTTTAAACATATTTTTGTTTGGAAAATCTTTTAAATTTATATATAAATTAATGATGAAAAAATATAAAATACATAAATAATAGTTTTATTTAGTTTTAAATAAATAAAATGTTGTTTTTTCAAATAATTAAATTATTTGAAAACATTTTTGAATTTTACTAAAAATTAAAGACATTGGTTATTTTAGTACAACAATATAGATAATATATTACTCAACACTAATCGGCATTACTCGACATTAATTATTTTGTTTGGATTTTTATATTTTACTAATGTTTTAGGTTTTATTAATAATACTCCAATTAAAACGAAATTTTTAAATTGTAGTGTTTATATAAATATAATATTATAATAATAGTACTTAAGGTATGTGATGAATTACAATTATAATTTATTTATTTGTTATTTTTAGCAATGTTTCAATATTTAATAACAATTCAAACTTATAATGTGAATCAAATAAAACAATAAATAGAAGAATTAGTATTTAATGTGATTTTGTATTACAACTATATTTTAGTTTTAACGTTAATTTTGCTAATTTGAAAATTTAAATTATATATTTCATATAACAACCCATTTATAAATATTTTTGCAAATCATTATAAAGATATTTAATTAGTTAAATATTGTATAATATAATACAAAACAGTATATACCGTAGTATTGTACTGTATATTAATGGATGTTATAATAAAACAAAAATTTTATTATGCATTTACTGTGTCTCTAAAGACAGTCATTAAATATTTTATTATTTAGTATTAGTAATAAATATAAGAAAAGATATCATACTTTTATTATTGGATGTGTTGACAACATATATATGATGTTTTATATCCAATTTATGAGTCAATTTGTTTTGTAGGCCTTCATTGCCTTCCCATTCAAAAGCTTTTGATTGAAAGCAATTTTTTGGTCAAATAAATTGCTAAATATGTCATTATATAAGTAAAAACTAAACTATAATACCCATACAATTGTTTTGTTGATCTAATTTAAGTAAATATACTTTTGGTACGTTTGGTCCCAAACATTGAATCACATAATAGTGAGCGTTAAGACTGAAGAAGGCCTCAAAATAATGACAATCAGTGAACGTTAGCCGACATGTCATGCATTGGACATCTCTGTCACTGACATTAACTCTATAAATATGTTGCTCCCGGAGCTCTATATTAGGGTTTTCGGCTTTTATTGATTTATTTATTGCTTGAAAATATAAAATTTGTGTCGATTTGTCAAAAAATAATAATTTAGTCACGTCATACTTTCCTATTGTTATGAATTTATCTATAAAGTTGTGCTATTAATAATAGATAACAGTTACATAAAGAAAATTGTTAATATTAATTTTAATCACATTTTGTATTATTAATTTTATTTTCGTTAGTTTACTGATAATTATTTCACTAAACTATATTAAACAAATAAATACTTGACTATTGTTAGTTAATTATGGGAAATGCACTTCATTTATACAAATAAATATATTTATATATATATATATTATGATAGACTTACATATAATCTAAAGTAAGAAATGTGATAATATCTACCCAATTGTGAGTCAGGTTTTAAAGATATAGTAAAGACAGTGACAGTGAGTCCGTCATCCGATAGCATAATACTTTGCGATAACTTTTTTAAACTCAAAACACTTGAAATCCTATTTGTCTTTAAAAAAGAGATAATATTTGAATTACTTTTGATAAACTATTAGATGATGTTTTCTCTCGTTTTAATAGTTTTAATGCTTTTTTGCTATTAATGTAAATAACTAATGGTATACCTCTTTGCACATCCAGTCGTCACTGAGAGCACAAGTAGTGATGATTGAATTGTTTAGGTGTCTGGGAGTCCACCAAACAGTTAGTGAATCGTTTTTAAGCCAATTAACAGAAATAACATAAAAATCTATGTTTTGTAATACATTTGGAGGTTTTATTTGTCTGATATGAGTTGAACTTATATTGTAAACCCAAAGAGTAATCTTTCCAATGATTTGGTTTGCCTTAGAATTAGAGTCGAAACAAATAAAAATTTATATATTAATACATTCAGAAAGACATTTAGCTTTAATAGTGTTGATCCTTCAAATTTAATGCACTTATTTTAATTGGTCTCTTATGTGTTGTGATAATAGTATTGATAAAAAATGTTTTATATGTTTGGACTCACTTTTGGGTATTTATATCTAACAAATTTAAGTGAATTGCTTTCACTATCATTGCCTGGACTGCCATAAAATACAATTGTATTGTCGGCGACACCAGTGTTATCAATGTTAGCAAAGCATAGACTCGAGCCATCCGTCGACCACCAGAACAGCGACTCTTTCGTTGATATGCTCTCTATATTAGTATTATTATTATAACATTCAAATATATCTCTATAAATATAGTTTTATATAAAATACATTTATTTATATTTTTCAAATATTTATAGATATTATATGATAATTTGTAAAAATCAACTTTAAATTTACATTTAGATTGTTCGCAATCTTATAATTTATGAGTAATTTTTATGTGAATAGGACTTAATTCAAAATTTTAGAGTATATTAAGTATATATTTTAGATATTTAATAACAACTATACTGTATTTCGCAAAAATATTAAATTTTATGTAAAATTTCATTATTATATGAATAACTAATAACAACTTTGAAATTATCTACTACAATACTCTATTTATACTGTATATACATTTAATACATGTATTTTAATACTTGATTTTATTAAATTAAAATAAATTTACCATATTATAATTTTTTAGAAAATTGCATTTTATCAAAAACTCAATAATTTCCGAAAATACAATTAGTATTACTTTTATTTTTTCTTTTATATTAAAAAAATAATTAACTATTGAAACATACAAAGAATAATGATTTAAATTAAATACAATATATAACAATAGCATAATTTTGTTTTTGTATTATTTAAATATCTAATACTATAACGTTATATTTTGAATTACAAATAATTAAATACACAAATAAAATACTGTATAATAAAATAATAATCAGAGAATACTAACTATTTGTTGTTAGTTTTTATTTAATTTAAATGGGTTGGAAATATTTTTATTAAACTAATTGGTTTCATTATAGATTTTATTATATATTTAGTTAATTAAATTTTTAAATATTCCACACTATATTATATTAAAAAATTCATTAAAATAATCATTATCTACTGTATATGTTTAGTTTATAAGTTTTATAGTAATGTTCATTAATTTAATTAATTTAAGAGACAAATCAAACCTCTGTATAGTAGGTCAACGATTCCATTGAATATTATTCCCAGTTTTCCATTAGTTGTTATTTGCTTTGCTTTTCCTCCAATTTCCGGTAAATAATATATATTATTATTGACAATAAATATCTATATAAATAAATTATATATTTTGTTTACAATTTAATATTATATATAATTATATAATTACTAATGCATTTCCTATTGGTCCCCATTCAGCCCATTGTATAACAATATGACTTATATTTTCCCAAGTTTGATACAAATAAATAATATTGCTAAAAAAGATAATTTTATTAACAAATTTTGAAATTATCACAAATTAAAAAATAAATTGTCAGTTAAAATTGGGTTTTGTTTTAATAAATTAAATTTAAAATTTTGATATTTATAATATAAGAGAAAGATAATATTTTACTATAAAAAGAAATGTTTTTAATTTAATATATTTTTAATACAAACGATAAGTTAAAAAATATTTACTAATTATATATTTTTTAATTAAATTGAGTTTTTAAAAGCATAACAAAAAACTGATATAAGCTTACAAAACAACGAGAATTATATTATTTGTTATCAATATTTTACAAAATAATTTGATATTAGTTTACTATTTATAAAAACTCACTCCTTTTTAATGTCATATATAATGAAATCTGCTGTGAATATGAATTCCAATGACTGTAGAAATAAGATATTTTGTATAATATTATAGTCAAAACTAATTTAAAAAAATTAATAAACAATACCTGTTTATAATTGGAAATTAATAAAACAAAATTTCTATCCGATGAAAGTGAATATTTTTGAATATCAAATTGTCTCTAAAATTAATTGAAATTTATGCAAATTATTAAATTTTTCATGTAAATGAAATGTATATTTATATACATTTACTAATTAATAAACAATAATATACATCTAATATTAAAAAGTCAAATATTTATAGATGAAAATAGTAAGAATTATTAATTCATATATGTTAATAATAAATATAAATTTTAATACGAATAATATAAATAATAATTTATATCTAATTTTATTATTAATTTTTGATAATATTATATTTAATAAATATTTTGTTACTATTATATAGTTGTGTACTAAAATCAATGAGATATTGTTTTTAGCATCAAATGATACAAGCGATCCATTTGGCTCTATGTATATCAATTCATGTCCTATTTTATTAAATGTAATAATTATATTAGTTAATTAATTTAAAATCAAAATAAGCAAATGATTTAATATTAGTTTATACATTTAAAAATCATATTATCGCAGTTTGTATTTATTTTGTTACAAATAAATGATTACGATAAATATTACAAGCAAAATATATTTATTTAAAAAAATAATATTTTAAAAATTTCATTAAATAATTAATTAAAATATGATAGTGTCTGTTACAAAATAAATAAATTTTGTAAAATATATATAATTTTTACAAACTGTATGGTTTGATAAGAATAGACTAATTATTGTAAATGTTTTAAATAATACCTGAAATCCAGGTGCCATTAAATAATATTGGTTTGAAATCATTGTTAATAATTTCATCGATTTCATAGTTGTCATTATGAAATGGACTGTATCTTTTAGCTATTAACAAATATATTAGTATTGTATAAATAATTATAATATAATATAAATATAAATATAGTATAAATAATATAAAATCAATTGATACTTACAAGGAGTTAACAAAATAATTGAAAGTATAATAAGAGAAGAAATGACTGCAATAACAAACAGTGCAATCACTGCACCCTTGAAGTGCTTTTCTTCGCCTTTATTTTCTTCAAATTCCTAACATTTTTGTAAATTATTGTAATAATATATTTTTTAATTTGATTTTTAATTTGATTTATAATTTTGTGTGTTTATAAAGATAATTATAAATAATACTTTTATTTTATATAAAATAAAAATTACTGATAATTTTATTCACTTAATTTGTATATTGTTTCATTAGTTGTAGTATTTTAATTAATGTTTTAAATTTATAGTCAAATATAATTTTTAATTTAATGTATATAATTGGATCAGTCTATATTTCTAAGCATTAATGTCTTAAAAATATAATATAATTTATAATCAAACTAATACTATAGTTTACAAAGTAATTAGTATTGTATTTTTCTCTCAAATAATATTAGTTTAATTTGTGAAGTTTTGCTAAAAAGATTTTAATTACGAATAACACAAAATCATAAGAATTTGTATCCAATTAATAAAAAAAATATTTTTGCAAAAAATAATTTAATATTAATATATTAATAAGCGAAAATAGTTTGCTAATTATATTTTATTATCAATTATAAAAAAAATATACTGTTATTGTTAAATAATTTGGCCTAAAAGCTTACAAATTAGCGAATTTTTAATAATATATAAAAATAATATACATTTATAGAAGTTATAGTAAAATTGTAACCATTTAAATATATAATCAATCATTAAATAAAATTATTGATTTACCTCATCATCATAATCAAGATCATCCATTTAATAAGAAATAACAGTAATAGTAATTTTAAATTTACAAATTTGAGCATAAATTATGGTTTAAAATGTTTTAAATATACACTAAATATACATTTTTATTAGAAATTAATATTATTGTGAAAATTATATACTTTGTTCATTTAATTTAATAATATTTATACTGTAATAACAGTAATAACAGTATTCACTAATGAAATTGTGAAAAACATTATATACAAGAATTTATGAAAACAAAGTTTATCCTAACATTTGTTTGATGTGTTTTGCCTTTAAATCCATAGCAATGAAACAAAATCTATATTTAGTAGTCGTATATCTGTATTAATATTCGACATTCACTGTAAACCTGAACTAAAAACATGATATAACAGTATATTTTATTAAACAATTTGTGTATTACAGGTATTTGATTAGATTTTATTGAAATCGATTAGTTAAATACTATAATAATATCATACAAAATAATTGTTTCCTTAAAATGTTAAAATAGTTAAACCAATTTTCTAACATTTATTATAGTTTTTTAAGATTATTAATTATATTTAGTTATATTTGAGTATCATTTGCTACTATGCCATACATTTAGACTTAATATTTTATAGTATTATGTAAAATATTCGCAAAATTATCATAAATTACAAAAAGCAGGTGTATTGGGTATAAATTATATAATAAAATGTTAATAATTTTGTACATTTAGTGACTATAATCTAAAGCCATTTAAATGAATTTAAATGACTAATAAATCATTGAAAAATAACAACAATAATAATAGTTATAACAATAAAATAAATTAGACAAATAAAACATGAGTTATGATTAATTTGGTAGACATCTATGTCATTATAAAAATAAAATACTAGTTTTATTATGATATTTGCTATAATTTTGTTAGTGATTTACAAGAAAGTCTACCAAATCCTTGTAATATATAAATTGCAAATAAAAAGACAAAAACTTAATCCAATGGGCTTTCAATTCACAGACAATTATAATCTCATTGAGACTATTGTCTCACAAAAAGTCATTATTAAAGATAGGTTTAGTTAGTCTTTTGCTTGCATTGCGCAGAAGTAACCTTTCAGGACATCATTGATTATAAAGTGTTTGACAACAAATTAATTGATTTATTAATATATTGTTATGAAATGATATAAAAAATTAATTAAATACAATATCGATATTATTTATATTTATATTATATTAACAACATATTAAATATATGTCAAATCAAATAATAATTAAAAATATTCTAAACTTCGTAATTAGGTATCGATACTATAAATTTCACACATTTTATTAAAATTATTGTAAGTTTAACTTACTTTAACATCACTTAATAGCAACAATTATCTGGTGTTGATTTGTGGTCACTAGTGTTTCGGTACTCACTTAGTACTACTTTATCAGCACAGTTGCACTAATAGTCATAGACATACCAGTGCTGTAAGCCGTACGGGAAGCCGGTGTTTGGGATTAACATTTCATACAATACTAAATAGTTTATATTATTTTTTGTGTTTATATAATATTTAATCATTATTTCCAATAAGTTTAAGTCTAATAGATTCAAATAAGTTTTAATTACAAAAATATATATTTAACTATTGTTTATTTTAGTTTAAATTAATAGATATTATTATAGTTTTATAAAAATATTAAATAATGAAGTATATACAAAAAATTATATAACAAATTCAAATATTAGTTACATAAGTGCAATGAAATAGATTTTTTTTAATCACRTCACATATTTTTAATTATTTTATGAAAACTATGAATCATTATAAGGTATTTTAAACTATTTCAATGACAAAAGTATTGTTTTCTAAGTAAATATAGCTATTTATAAACAAATATTATATATTACATAATATAATCAAGTTAATAATTAACATATAATTGTTAAAGAAATAATTTACAAAAAATAAGTAATAAAATATTAACTAAAAATAAATATACTAATAATTGTGATTTTTAATGTTGATATTGAGTATACAGTATATTATTGAATGCATGTGTAAACAACTTTAACAAATAATGTATTAAACATTATTAAATAATTGAAATAAATAAGTAGTATTTTGAAATTAAACGGTCAAACACTGTATAATTTAGTTACACAACAAACAAATATTTTTTTCGCAATGATGTCTCTTAGCTTTGACTGAAGTGTTATAAAGTTTTGGTGACATAAAGTAGTTTTGTATACTAAAGTGTTAATGTAATGTAATTAAAATTTATTTTTAAATATCTATTTCTTTATAATTATATAATTTTTTATACTCTATCTTCTAATTCATTTATTAGTAATTTAAAATACTGTAAATAATAAAATATTTAAAAACAATTAGAATAACATAAAAGTTTAAATTTAATTATTATTTTAGATAAAAGATGGAAACGAAGTTAATTTTGTCAATAATTATGAAATTATTATTAATGCAAACATTAAGAATAAAATCAGAAGAAAATGTTAAACATGAAGGAAGTTGTCATTCAATGTCACGAAATAGTGACAAAAGTCAGGAAAAAAGTCATGAATTTAGTAATCATAAGGAAAGTGAAAGTTTTTGTACGAAAAGAAATACAGATAATATGGTTGTCATAAAAGGCAATACTTTTACAATGGGTACAAACGAACCGGTATTTGTGGCCGACGGAGAGGGACCCGCAAGAAATGTCACAATTCATACATTTCTTATGGATATTACTGAAGTCAGTAACAGACAGTTTAGACAATTTGTTGAAAAAACCAATTATGTGACCGAAGCTGAAGTTTTTGGCAATTCATTTGTTTTTGAGAAACTTATTAAGTGATTTTGTCAAACAAAATATAACACAATCGGTGGCAGCAGCACCCTGGTGGTATGATATATGACATTCATTATAATACTAATTATTTTATACTACAATTACTTACTTTATAATAATTACCGGTATTATTTTCTTTATACTAAATATAGTATATTGAAATAATTATCATCATTATAACAATAATAATTATTATATATTATCAAAAATTTGAAATAATAATTAATTGAAAATAATTTGGCTTAAAATTAGTCGTTCAATACGATAGAGTTAAATATGATAATAATTTCCATATGTATGTAATGATAGGCTTCCCGTTAATAATGCTAATTGGAGAACACCTGAAGGCATTGATTCAAATTTAGACGAGCGATGGGATCACCCGGTAGTACACGTCTCGTGGACTGATGCTAACAGTTATTGCAATTGGAAAGGACTTAGACTTCCGACGGAAACTGAATGGGAATATTCGTGTCGAGCGGGCCTTAAAAATAGACTGTTTCCGTGGGGTAACAAATTAAAACCATTTGACAAACATTATGCTAATCTATGGGACGGAGAATTTCCTAATCATAATACTGGTAATTAATTTATTTTTTAATTGTTAATAATTGTATTTAATTTACTAATTATTTATTATAAGGAGAGGATGGGTATATAGGAACAGCACCAGTTGATGTTTTTCCTCCAAATAAATTTGGATTAAAGAATATTGTAGGAAACGTTTGGGGTATTCATATAATTGTGTTTTTTGCTATAATATATTTACTTATTAAAACTATCAAATAGAGTGGACAGCCGATTGGTGGACAACTAAACACAGTATTGAACCGTCAACTGACCCAAAAGGCCCGGAATCGGGAACAGATAGAGTGAAAAAGGGTGGTTCCTTTATGTGCCATAAAAGTTATTGTTATAGATATAGATGTGCTGCCAGAAGTCAAAACACACCGGTAGGTCTAATATTTAATACTTATAGCATTTATACTCATATTAATTGTTTAATACATAAGAATACTGTAAGCAATATATAGTCTAAATACTAATAGCAAGTATAATATAATTTTAATTGAGAGCAAAATTCTATAAAACAAAATCAATTATAAGAGCAAATTAAATAAACCATTAAAACTTTTACCTCCAATTTATATACGTTTTTTAGACCATTTAGTTTTCTTAAGCATGTCGTTACATGACATAACATGGCATTTAAATAATATATAACAAAAAATCAATACAAAACTAAGTAAATTGTTTTGTATAATTTTTAATAAATACTATCTTATGCTAAAATAAATGTAATTTTGTTTATTATTAGGATTCATCTGCAAGTAATCTAGGATTTAGATGTGCCGCTGATTATCAAAATGATTGATTGCATTAAATGTTTGCTAAATTGTTATAAATGCTTATAATTTATTTTATAAATTTTTTGTGTGGATTATTGTATATTTATTAAAAGATTAATTTAAATAAATTATTTAACAAAATTAACATTAATAAAGCGATTTATTTTAATATTTTGACAATTGTTATACAAATAGATTTTTAATTATCTATTAAAAGGAATTACAATCATATTATATTTGTCTTTACAGTCGATATAATCAACAAATAAAAAAATAAAATATAACACAATTATATCAATCTATTTTATGTCTATATTTAGCTTTTTTCAAATATTCATTGCAAACAAAACATGTATTGAAAACTTTAAAAACGTTTCAAATATTCCGACACTATCTATAGTTTCACACTATTTATTATATTCAGTAATAAATACAGTATTAGCAACTATTTTCATTTTTGTTATTTATTTAGTTAAATTTTGGTAACTATTAATAAATGATTTAAATTTTAGATATAGTATTTAAATAATAAATTTATCAATACTGGCTTATATTTGTAAAAATAATTCTCAGAAAACTCGTAAATATTAGATTTTTAAAACAAATGTATAAAAATGTGATTTTCTTTTATAATAGGTTTATAGAAAATATTTTCTTATAATATGATGTTATGTTACAGTATTTACATTAAATATGATATTATGTTTTATAGTACTTTCATTGATGGTGTAAAATATTGACGTTTGACTTTGCTTTTTGATCAAATATTTTATAAGGCATAACAAACTGTTGGTATGATTTTTTTAAAAACATTAACTCTAAAAATATTAAACTATTTATAAGCTCTGACTCTGTTTGACAACACGTCGTCTCCGAAGACCAATGTCTTCGACAAAAGTTTCCGTTTGGAAGCATTCGTCCCAAAAGGTTTCCATTGTCTGATAGAGATGTGGTTTCACTCCCGATAGTGAATGGTTCTCATCTGGATATACCTGTGTCTGAAACATGACATTAGCGTTGGTCAGTGCCTTCATTAACACCATTGACTGTTGTAAATGCACGTTATCTAATAGTTTTTAATACCATTATAAGTAAATCAATAACTTATATAATAAATATTAATACAAGTCTAATACAGTAATATAGACAATAGACAATAATATATTATACTAAATTATACAATACATATTATATGTTAGCTTTTATTATATAAAGTATGTATTTATATATATATTTATTACAATATGCTGTAACACTAGTAATGCAAAGTAATTTAAGACAACATACCATCAGCTGATCCATGGCATAGTAGAAATTTTTTACCCTTAAAATTGTGAGCTCTGTTCAAAACATCAGATTTCAAATAGCTTTCCATATTATCTTTAGGTAAACCCATATATCTTTCAGTATAAACTGAATCTAAAATACATAACAAATCCATTTAAATGATTATAAAAAATAACAATAATAATGATTACCATAGAGAAGCCATGAAGTGACCGGTGCTACAGATACTCCACAGGAAAATACCGGATTGTTTACATCCATTGCCAGCGCCAATGCAGTGGCGTAACCTCCTATTGATTATCATTGCATTATTTGTATTGATTTAATTTTGCTGTATTCACCATAAGATTGTACTCACCATAACTCCAGCCCCAGATTCCTATGGCATCCTTATTGATATAATTATATTTATCGCGTAAATATCTGTAAAACATTTTTATTAACATTAAGAAATCAATTTAAAATCTTAAATAATGTTTATAACAAATATATAAACGATTGTCATTTTTTGTATTATTTAAAAAATTGTAAGAAAGAGTTTCTTGTATTGAATTAAAAGATTATAAAATAAAAAGCAAAATAAATTTATCGATTTATAATTAATTAAAATCAATAATTTTTGTTTCGATAATTTTAATATTAATTTTTGATAATTCCATATATTTTTATTAATAATTAATGATTTATAAAATTATTTACTTAAAAATTAGCTAATTTTGTACCATTTTTTCAATCATGTGTTAATTATTAGTGAGTTAATTAAAATTTGAAAAATTTACAGATTTTATTAAATTATTTTTAATAAAAATAGATTTTTGCTTGAAAGCATTTAACATAATAACTATAATACAGACACAAAAGTTTTGTATTAAACAAAATCGTAAATTTCGTTAACAAACATATATGTTATAACGGATGCTCTCTTTTTTTGCAATCTTATAATTTGAGTGACAAAAACAAGTTTGTTATATAAGATTTGCTTCAAAAATCGATATCAAATATTTTAACAAAAGCGAAAATATTACATTAATGTTAACTATTGTTAAATAAAATTAAAAACTTGTATACAATTTTATAGATGTAATTAATTGTTTAAAATTTCATTTAAGAATGTTATTTAGTTTAGCTTTATTTTGATGTTAAATAACTGTCAAAACTATAATAATAAAACCCTATTTTAAAAAATAATTATTTTTAGAAAATACAATCGTTTACTGAAATAAAAATAAATATTGAATTTCATATTAAATTTCTCTATTTCGTGATAATCAACAGTAAAACAATTGTCATAATATTTTTACTTTTTATTTGTCTCTTGAAAATGAATTAATTATAACAATAGTTTTCATTTTCATTGTATTTGTTTCAATAATATTAAAGTCTAGCTTTTAGTGAATGAGTAAATTAAATTAAATTTACTAAATAAACACTAAATGACAACTCATTTCTACAATAAATGAGCTGAAAATAGCATTTTTCAAACTACAGGTATTGTTTAATGATTGTTTGTATAATTAATTAATATTAGAGTATTATCTAATTACTATATAATATTAATATAGAATCTATTAAATTGAGATAATTTTTACGATATATCTAATTAAACGTTTGAATTTAAATTTAAAAACTAATAATCAAATAAATTGTAATAAAAAAAATATATTATAAATGCTTTGAATAATTAAATAATATTATGTAAAATATAAAGTGACAAACTTTGCCACTGCTATTTGATCCTCCACTTCAACAGTTCCCAAATTATGGTAGAGTTGGTGCATCAGTCGGTCTCCTTGATTACCACTTCCGCGGCCATCAATATAACAATATATAATATTTTTAGTTGAGGCCAAATATGTACCCCAATTAACTTGAAACTTATCGGTCACCATTTGGGAACCGGGACCTCCATAAACCTGTCATCAATAAATAAACGTTATTTTTTATCTTACTTATCTTAATAATAATAATACATTTTATATATTGTATATATAAATTAATTTATTAGTTTAAAAAAAATCTTCAATTAGAAGATATACTTAATATAAATATAACTAATGTATACTAAAAAATATTAAAAGTTTTACAAATGTGATGCAATTATAATGTGCAAAAAAGGAAAATTTCTAAAAAACTTTCTAACAAATTATTATAGAAAATACATTATAGTTTTATTCATTACAATTAAACTAACGTTTATGAAAATTTAATATTTTTAATATTATTCACAATATATTTAGATTAAATTTTAAGAAATATAATATTATATTGTTTTTATATTCAAAAAATATTTGACTAAAGTGTGTAATTTTGTATTAATAATTTGTTAATACAATAATTATTTCTAGAGATATTTAATTTAATTTTCAAATATTAATAAACTGTAAAACTTTAAATATTAAATAATGACTCAAATTTTTTGAATTATTAGTAAATATTGTTTGATTAACATATTTAAATAATATGATAACATTTATCAATATTTATATTTTTATGCAATTTAATCATTTAATCTATTATTACATATTTTGCATTCTTAAAATAAATAATACAAAAATATAACATTAGTTAATAAAATTGCTTTTTAGTAATATTTCTACAAAATATAATAATAAGAAACAAATTTTTATTTCGAGTATTTGCAAAGTTCTAGAAATTCCTAAAATTCTTTAGGAAATTGTGTTTTATTTATGGCTTACATATTATAAATGAAAAGTATATATATATATATATATATATACTGTATTTTATAAAATATAAATATAAATGTCATTTTATTAATGTTATTATTTAATATGTACTGTAAATCTTAGATCTTGACTCATAATTTATTTATTAGTCAAAAAGGTATACTTTGTAGTATATACCATAAAATTAACTAAAAAATAATTTTTATGTCTGAAAATCTCAAATAAGACTAAKAATTTAAATTTATTATTTACTTTTAAAAAGATCATGAAATCAATAAGATTAAAATAACTTTTAAAATAATGAAAAACAATTTTACTTAAAGCATAATTTTAATGTAATTTTTACCAATACTACTACTATAAGCTATAATACAAAATGTGTTTTTAGTATAACTTATTATATGAACACATTTGGTATTAAAGAATGAATTTTATGTGAATTAACTGAAGCTCTGTATAGAAAATAATGAATAATAGAAATGTGAAACTTATTTGAGACCAGAAATTGAGTAAACGATAGCACTTTGGCGATACATATGGCTATAAAACTAATAGTAAATAACACAAAACAGATAATATAATATCGAGAGTAAATTAAATACTGTATCTATATAGTGTAATTATATTGACTGTACAGCTGTTTTTAAATCTCATAAATAATAGTAATATATTTTTTTAAATGTTTAAAATTTTAGAAAAAAGTATATACTGTTATAATTTGCTTTATATAAATGATATGCTTTTCACAATAAATTAATATTTTTCTTATTTTGAAAACTTGTTTTGTTAGTATTCAAGACATATATCGCATTATTTGCTGAATATAATATAACTGAATGATATATATATAATAAAATAAAGCGTATTGTTATGAATGTAATGGAGGTATTTATAGTGGAAATGAAATACTGTATGAGAAAAATATATGAAAACCAAAATTTGTGTTTCTTATAAAAACTGCGTTACTTTTAACCAATGCATTCATTCAATTGCTTCACTTATTTATATTAAATTACATATTTGTGTTATAAAAGTCTAAACTTAATGTGTTTGCTGTCACTTATAAGTCTTAACTCTCAATAGGTATGAGTCGTGACTATTAGAAAACGTTGGTTCTCTGTGTTGTTGTAATTGTGGGCTCCGGGTGTGTGGTCTTATAGCTACTATATTACATAACGTTGATGTACTACCCATTGCCTATAACTGGTGAGAACTACCAATAAATAAATTTTGATCGTTGAATGACATAATGATTTAGTAATGATTCGTTGTTTAAATTAGTAATGAAACAAATATTATAGTTTATTTAATTAACGAATCAAACATAATGTCTAAATGTTTTGCATAAAAATTGAGTGCTAAATACTATTAGCTATTGTATTGTTAAGCAATTGTTGTCGTGTTTAGATAAAAGAGTCTGAAATAATTATTTAACAAACACATGATTAAAGMGAGTGCTAAATAATTTGTTAATAGTCCTAATGTAATGTTATATACATTATAGTGAATATTGAATATAATTAGTGATCCAAACCTGAATCAAAAGTGGATACTTTACGATCTGGTGTTTGTTGAGTTCAGGCGGTATATATAACATGACTGACAAATCTATTCAAACAATTATTAAATAATAATTATAATAAAAATCAAATTCCAGTCTTTCTAATCACTTGACAAATAACATACTATTATTATGGATAGGAATAACCATTTTTTCAATTTTTGGCAAAATTTTATTAGACAACAAATTTTTTAAGCGATCATTTGTTTGTAAAGTTTTAATCAATGAGTTGTCATCAGATTTTCGTAATTCTATATTAGGAATGTCCGGACCATTGCATTCAAGAATATAATACTTTGCATTTTGACTAAAAATTGCTGAATTGTGGAGACATTTGTCACCCAAATTACAGGTCAAACATTGAGATGATGTCTTAGTATTAGTGCTCGTAATCATCACTTTAAATATATGTCTTTCTTCTGGTTTTGCCGGTCCTGTGGCCGCGTAATACAGATATTGAACACCACTTATCTCATTACGGCTTATGGCTAACAGTTGTAAAGTATCAAACAGTCCTTCCGTTATAAAGGTTGGTTCGCCCATCTGTTCATTCAATCAATTCAATCAATATTATTATAAAAAACAACTCAACAAACCTTTTGTGTGACGCGAGCGATGTGTCGATACTCTTCTTTGGTTTGATTGTTAGGCAATCTTACAAAATAATCATTGCCTGAGAAAAGAGGAGCTTCAGAGGCGTCGACCCAACCTTTGCCCTCACTTTGTTGGACCAAATTCTTGAGAAAATTTTATTTAAATATTTGACACAAATTAAATCAACAAAAACTCACTAAATTGCAGATCCAATTCCTCTGGTTATTCAAACAAATGCTTACAATAGCATAGTTTTGTACTCTCTTAAGCCACGTCACCGACAGCTTTTGATTGTCGATCCATGAAATTGATGTAAAATAATAATCGCTATCATTTGAGTATAAATATCTAATTAACAAAAGTTGAAGTCTAATGTTTGCTAAATTAAACAATAGCGCAAAGTTTAATTTAATAAACAATTTTTAAAATTTAAAATTTAATATTAATATATATATATATATATAAGTAAAATACTATATTCTATATAATATATAGTATAGTATTAAATTATATACCGGTACTGTACTACTGTATAGTATTTGATTATTACGGTAATTATAATTGTTAATATTTACATTGAAAATTTAATAAATTTGTTTACAAATAGAATTAATTATTATAATGATTCTGATGGATGTATTTGTTATTTTATAATCAAATTATAGCAGAAATCAAAATTATAGTATAATTCAGATTAAAGTTGTGATACAATTAAATTTATAAGTTAATGATAGCACTTCTCATTTCTAAATCTAAATATATATCTAAATAAACTTTATTTTAACATTTATTTACGGTAAGTATCTTTGATAAAAAATAATTTTTTAAAACATACTCATTAGTTATTTGGGTCGGAGGTATGACTTCTTGTAATGAACGGAAGGGTTCATCACTATCTAAATTGGCGACAAATAATTTTATCTTTGGGTTAGCTCTACCGGCCTTTAAGAAAAAATACATAAAATAAAATATGAAATTTTAATTAATTTTTTTATTATATTTATTTACTTTTGGATATCTTATTTGAATAGTTTTTGTATATAAGTTTGAATTGTCGATTCCGGTGCCATACCAGGGATATTGCATGACATCGACGTTAGTATCATTGAATTGTGCGAAACAAATCTTTGATCCGTCGGGTGACCACCAAATGGCGTTACTCGACGACAATACTTCCTCTTCATAAACCCAATCGGGAATACCATTGAATATGTTTTCCAAATTATTGCCATTAATTACAATTTTTGCCGTTTTTGCTGATACACTCTCTTTATAGTAAATGGTATTTTTTGCAACAAAAATAAGTTGTGAACTGTTAGGCTTTGGACCCCAACTGGCAAACTGTAGATCTGTTATGGTTTGATCATTGGGTGGATACAGTATTTCTGTATCTCTAATATTGCATTAAAATAATTACTTTTAATAAGATGTTTATTATATATAAAATATATTCATATAATTGTGTAAAACTAACAACAAAAAGGTAATAAATTTAAATGACTTACTCGGAAGAAATGTTATATATTTTATGTTTAGCTATATATGAATGTCGAAAGAGCTATAAAAATGTTATAATAAAAATTTTCTAAAAATATGTGTTCAATATTATTATATCATACTATAGACTCTATGATAACTTAGGTTTTATACTCACTTTTTTCATGTCATAAACTAATAACAAATAATTTTTATCCGTTGATAATGAATATTTTTGTACTACATTTTGTCTCTATAGGCAATGAGTATAAAATTTCAATAAAATATTACAAAAAAATACTATAGTATTGAAGTAAATAAGAAAAAATACTCACAAAAACCGAGTTATGAACTAATGTTATGGTAGTCGGAGGCGAATCATTCAAATTTAATTTCACTAAATTTCCCGAAATGTCTCTAAAGATGAGTTCGTAATCACTAATCCAACTGCCATTGAAAGCACTGGTAGAGTAAACCCCCTGCAAAATCTGATCCAATTTTAATTTCTCTTTATATGTTTTGGCACTGAATTGGGCTATAATATGAAAAACAGATTACTTTAGGAAATGAATGTATTATTATTATTATTATTACTTTGTATGTCAGGATTTATCAATACAACTGATGATACAATTGCACCACAAATGGCTAGGATTACCATCACTGCTATTGTCACTCCTTTCCAATTACTACTTTCTATGTCCACTACTGGTAACTCCTGTTTAGATTATATTAATTTTTAATATTTAGTACTTATATTAATATACCAGTATATAAAGTAATTATAATATTTAAGCTATTATAATGAATAATTGTTTAAATATTATTATTTGAAATTATTTTTTTAATTCATTATATTTTATATATATTTATACGTAAAACTTAATTTAGTCATTATTTATTTAAAGTTACCATAAATTTAAATCAATACTAAGTGATTATAATATTTTAATATTAAATGAAATCAAATTATTTGTTGTAATAATAAGTGATTATTTTATTTGATGTTTATATTTATATTAAAAATATGTTTATATTTATATTTTGCATACAATTTACTGTATTTAGAATAAATTTATTGAATTAAGTTCTCAATTATCAGATTATATAAAGAGATCAAATGATAGCTAAATAAAGAAAAATTTACTCATATATATACAGTTACTGTATTACAGTATATGACTAACTCTAAGCTTATAATTAAATTTAGTTTTGATTAATTACCACAAATATATTGTAACAATAATATTGAGTGAATATACAGTTTATCACAACAATATTCATAATATTGTAATTTAGTGAATACTTTAATTTTATGCACTTATTTCATATAAATTTATTATATTAAAAATAGTCTGTCAGTAAATAAAAAAAAATTCAAAAAATTAATAATTTACAAAATGATCATAGATTGTGGGATTTCACAAATACTGTATATTGTCTATAAGTTACAATCTAATTGATTTTTATTAAATACAATTTAATAGTAACAACAATAATTGTTATTAACAAAGTGTTGAATGTATTAATAGTTATAACTATTAACAAAATTTATGTAAAGTTTTATTAATAAAATGTTTTTCATATTGTTTAAATATATTAAAACAAAATACGGTATATAACTTATGTCATAATTTATATAATTACTTAAATATTATTTTAACACATATTTCGATTAGCATTAAATTGTCGAATAAAAGCTTCAATATTTCTGTTTTATGTTATAATATCAATATATTTTTTATATTAAATCTTAAACTTTATTTTTAATTTATATTAAAATTTATTAAACTGTGTCTATAAAAGAAAAATTGTTGTGAAGATAATCTATTAAATTTAAAACATTTATAGCGATAGACATTTATTTATTAACATAAAAATAGTAACACATATCAAACTTTATATATTAATATAAGTTATTAGTTAATTTATTATTTATACAGGGTGTATTACTAATTTTCTATATAAAAATTATATCCTTAAACACATGGTCATATAGAAATTTCTAATAAATTTTTCTTTAAATATTTTTAGTAAATTTCTCACAAATAAATTTCTATAGAAATTTTAATTTTTGTCAATAATGTAAAACTGAAATTAATACATAATATACACTATTCTACTTACAGATGGGATCTCTAAGTATAAAATTAATATAATTATGTTATTTTTATTTACAATTTAGTTATTTTTAATAATTAAATTTAATAATTAAATTTAATAATTAAATTAATATAAAATTAAATTAAAAAACGAAATAAATAACAAAATAAATAATAAAATAGATTAATTTTGTTATTTTTGAATATTAATTATTATATTAATAATAATATTTAATTATTATATTAATAATAATATTTAATTATTATATTAATAATAATATTTAATTATTATATTAATAATAATATTTAATTATTATATTAATAATAATATTTAATTATTATATTAATAATAATATTTAATTATTATATTAATAATAATATTTAATTATTATCAATAACTATCGAGAAAGTAAAATAACATATGGATCCCAAAGAAATTTTTTTAAACATCATTTTAAATTCATAATAACTGTTAAAAAACAATTTAAAAATAAAACATTTTTATTATTAGTCTTAAGATAAGGTAATTTTTAAAATGCCGAACTAACCCAATAGTATTTTACAATTATTGTTATATGTATTAAATTAAATTAAATCATATTTATTCAACAATTTATTCAATATCTCATTATTCAATGTTTAACCTTTATTGTGATTACTAAAGTATTGATTAATAATTATTTAAACTATAAAATAGTTGTTATAATGTTGATAGTTGCTAAAAAAACCAAATAATTATTTTTAATATTTGCAAATAATATATGATTCACTTGTTTTCAGTATATATTTACAAGAATAATGTACACAAATATATAATAATTTCTATTGTTAACAAAAAATAATATTAATTATAAACATTTTACAGTTTTATATGATTTTTGTAAATATCTTATATTTTCACATATATTTGTGCAATATTTTACAGTTTAATGCTTATAATTTTCAAAATCATTAAAATAGTTATTTATAGTTATAATAAAATTTCGGGAATACATCCATTGGTCATATTAGGTGGAAATACTAAGTCTCAGTTATTAGCGATAAACCGATAAAATAGTTTTTTTAGTTGGAAATCAAGACAGTAGTGATTACTTTAATCATTAGTTATATTAGCATAAATTAAATTTATATTTAATTAAATAAAACGTTGAAAATATTTTTTGTGCAATTTAATATATATTTTTAATATATATTATTTATTTTAAACACACAGATAAAAAATCATTTTTAAATATTATTAAAAACATTAATATATCACTTAACATAAATTTATTTGAATCATTGATTGAAGGGATAGTTGTATTTTTTTTATATCTCACAATATAAATCATTTGGTTTTAAATTATTTAGACGATTGAAAAGTAATTTGAATGAGACATAAATCCAATAATTATATTTCAAAACATTTATATATAATATTTCGGTGAAATTCAACAAAAATGCTTTTTATTATTGCTGTTTTGCTATTTTATTAAATAAATAAATTTATATAAAAAAAAATATATTTATTGGCAAATTATGCTTATATAACACTATAATCATTATTTTTTTAACTACAATAATATTTTTATGTTTTTGACATCTATATATTGTATTAATTTTATAAAAATTAGCTGTATTTAGTTTATTATATTTAATACAATAATTTAAATTTCTAAGTAAAAATGTGTTATAAAAATTTAGACATTTTGATTTATAAAATGTATAGTATTATTAGATACAGTATTTTAACTTTTGCAATTATATTAATAATTCATATAAAAACATAAATACATATTTTTGCAAAACCACATTAATATATATTACAAAAATGATTACATGTTGTAATTTAATTAATTTTATCTGAGTATACAAGAAAAGATAACAATAAATTAACTGGTTCACTTTAATTATATATATCATAAGTTAAATTTAATGCATCAATGTATTAATATATGTACATTTAAAAAATAAAATAAAATTACATTTATCAAATAATTTAAATTACTGCGATTTCTAGTAAATTAGACAAAAAACTAAATGCAAAATTAGCATTAATTTTAACGAAAAAAAATATTATTTTGTATTTGTGTATAATGTATGTGATATACAGTACAGTATATACTGTACTGCATATGTATGATATAAACATGCATTTGTTTTATAAACAATATTTATATTTAGTCAAAATAAATGAAAAATCTAAATAAAATTATTGAATCAAATTTTTATACAGTATTTGACGGCTCATATGATATACTGTAACTCACATTAACTTCTTTGAAATCGTTATCAATAGAGCTGATGGAGGTTTGGTTTGGGTGGACATCCAAACCTTCTTCAATGTCTGACTTAGAGCTCAATATATTGCTTCCCATTTGATTGAATTCACACAAAACTTATCAAACAAATCAATTTATAAAATAAAAGTCAATTAATGTTTAGAGAAAAAGTTTGTGAAACCTTTTCTTTCTTTCTTTGATTTGTTTCGGTTATCACTCAAAACACAAATGACTTAAAACCACTACTTTTAAAGATTTCAAATCAAATGATTTTTGAAATAATGTTGTTATCAATCATTTATTTTTATGATTATTATTTTGCATCAATTTTCTTAAACTTAAATGTTATTTACAATTTTTATTGCATTTAATAGGTAACCTAAAACAGTAGCGAATAGTTTTTATGACACAATAAACTAAATGAGAGCTAAACTATAAAATGATAACTTTTATGTCAGATCTGTTGTTATAACAATCATAACATTAATTTAACAAATCATTAAAACAACAAAAAGTCAGTATTAATAATGAAAAAACTGTTTAATTTTTAGCAAATTCATTGGGGACTCGATTACATAAAATAATGATAAATATTGAACTTTTTGGGTATCACTTCAACAACACTTCAACACAAATATATCAAAAGTAAGGTTTGCTTAGTTTTGACGGTATTTTCGGATGAAAGCAAGCAATCGATTGCTGAATGCTTTGAATGTATTGAATGCATGCACTCATAGACCACTCATAGACACTAACATTACGACCACTGACTCCATCGTCACTCAGTAAAAGGCATTCAATTTAATGTCATTTGTCTGACATTAGGTATTCAATGGTATCATAACTCTTGTAGTTTACATTCATTTACATTATTTTTTATATTTTTTCATAAATTAAACATTAGTTAACATATAAAATATAATTTATTTAAATTATTAAAGATTTAAAAAAAATTACTGTATATAAAGATAAAAATAAATTTTCTTAAATATTTATAATTATTTTGGATAAGATTTGAAATAAATAATAAATACTTTTATGATAGTTATATTAGTATATATATGTACTAAAAATTATATTAACTAAATAAATATTTTGTTAGTTAAAACTGAAATTTTTTAAACAAAATCAAAATGTTTGAACAGAATATTCAGAAATTAAATTCTGTTGAAAAATGACATGACATCTGTTATATAATAATAAAATTATACTAAATTGTATTAATTATATTTAAATTATAGTTTTGATAAAATTAATTATACAATTACTGGTAATTTAAAATTTGCGTTTGAGACAAATATTATTAAAATTATATATTTTTATTAAATAAATTAATATTTAAATTTTCAAATTTTTTATCATTGTAAAAATTTATTTTAAAAAACTAAGAGTTTATATAATTTTTATTATACACTATGTAAAAATTAAATTTTTATTACATGTATATTATTTTGATAATAATTTATTACTTATTTAAAACTCTAGATGTCATACACATAAACTTTTAAGATATTATAAAATATATTTGATATCATTTACTGTATATCAATCATTACTGTAATAAACAGATCTATAATACTGACAATTGTGAATATAATTTAATAATATATTTAAATAAATAGAATTATTAAATTATTTATGATTTTTTTAGATCACTTGACAATTATTGTTGTGTTTTAATACACTGTATTACACATTTGAAATGTCAAATATATATATATATAATACTATTAGATGTTTGATTTTCTATTGATTTCAAAACTAAAATTATTATAAATTTTTATGTCAAAAAATTAAAATATGATTTTGTAAAATATTTAAACATTGCATTAATAAAGAATTATATTCTAAAATACAATACATTATGAAATTTATACGATACATATAAATATAATTTTTAATATTAACACAGAATTGAGTAAACGATTCCAGAGATCGACTTGACTTTGGAATGTCCTCAAGTGATGTCCGACTAAAATAAATTCTGTACTAAATGCCGATCAAAAGCTTAGAATAAATGTATATTTTTACAATAACTTTCGTTAAACAAATCATATACTAATTTAGTAAAGCAATACATTAAATATAAAACAAAAAAATTGACAAAAAATATTTATACATAGAAACTATGTTATAATTAGAGTTATGCATCTCTCGGCAATTCCCGAAACTTTAGTATTTATTAAATTGTCGAAAATTTAATATTTATACAAATGTTAACATTTAGAATAATATTGACATTTATTGCTTTTCCCGATTTTAAGTGCTTTTTAATAAATCCCAAAAAACTTTATATAAGTGTTTTCCCGAAATTTGCAAAATATTCATTTAGATAACAATTAAATACACATTTAATACAATATTTTTACAACATTTAGACAATAGTACTAATATTTTGCTACAAAAATTGTAATTTTGTATGTGTTTTAAATAAATGTATTGCAATCAGGGTTTTAAAAATGGCAGGCATAACAATAGATGCCAATTTTGCCAAATGCCTGCCCTGCCTCTACCATGCCCTGGACATCTATTTTCAGGTGGTGACACCTATTATTTTAATTTTATATTATTAATTAATTTATAAAACGTTTTTATAATATATTTGCGTATTTTTGTTTTGTATACCTTTAATTAAAAGGTAATATCATTGGAAATAAGTAAATTAATTGTAAATTTAATTAACACGTTAAAACACTAAATTACATTATTTTTATAAATACAGTTGCTTTTTAGCAATTTAAATTGGCAGGCTAATAAAATAGATGCCCAAAATGCCAGGCATTTATGGTATCTATTTGGGCATTGCCAGGGCAGGCATTTATTTTCTTAAAACTCTGATTGCAATACAGTACTTAATTATTTACTAATGTATTTTTTTGGTAAAAATGGGTAAACAAAGTGTAGTTTATAATTGTAATTAAATGCATTTTTATATTCAAATAATGAATTAAAAGTTGAAAATTGATGTTTTTTGCAAATAAACTAATTTTATATACAGTTTAATTACAGTAGTAATATATCAAGAATAAACAATTTAATTTTCCCATTTMTATCCTGATTTTTGGCATTTAAACTCCCGAAGATGCATAACTCTAGTTATAATTGAAGATTTTTAAAAATGTTTGAATACAATCAACTGTTTTTTTAAAATTTAATATGAATAAGTACTGTATATAATTATAAAATATATAATTGTAGTTTTACAGTAAATATTATAGTTTTTAAATTAAATAAAATACAACTCATTTGTCTATTTTGTGACATTATATCAATATTTTCAAAAATATATATTTTTGCATAAATTTCAATAACAATTGTGTTAACAATAAAATAATCCCTGACTTTATTCATAAAATAAATGATTATAATTTTTAATTTATTTTTAACAAAAATAATCAATTTTACTAAAAAAACTAAACAAAAAACAATGTTTCATACATTTGACAGCAAAAACTTGAATAATGAATATAAAGTTTTAGTGAAAGCTTTGTATTGATATTAAAAGGTAAGTGAAAATTATGAGTCATTTATTTTGTCAAATATTCACTTTTAGCATAAATTAAGTGAAAATCTATTTATTTTAAAAGCATTGCTTAAAACTTACTAATTTTATGCTATGGTATATAAATTTTAAAATATAAATTATTTATAAATTACATTTGTTTTAAAGTTTTTTAGATATAAACTATTTATAATACAATTTTTATCAAAATAAATACTGTATATTAAATCATTTAATTTTTTAAATTTCTATGAATAACGTATCAAATAAAAATGATTTTTACTATCATTAGTAAATTATTTCATTTATTCTATTGATCACAGCCTATAATTGCTTGACCAGCAAACAGATTGTTTTTTTTAATAAAAATATACAAATTTTGAATAAATGTAAAAATGTCTCAACAGGTCACAGCTATTTTCATATACATTAAAACACAGATTATATTTAAACATATTTAATGTAATCTAAATACTATATATAAATACTGTAGTATTTAATAGACTCTAATAAATGATATGAAAAGTGTATAAAATATAGTCAAACCTTAATCCTCCCGAGCAGTAGTGCATCCATCTCTCCGTGCGGTAGCGCCGGTACCGACTCAACTGGTTTTACAATAGCACTCATTTGTCACCATAAATGCTATAATATAACAACTAAATCCTTTTTATATGAAACAATCACTGTATGTGTCGATCCTTCATCACATTAAAAACATTTTCCGACGCTTAATGCTAATGGATTTGCTGTAAAACAATATAAAGTTATATATAAATTATATATTAAAATGCAAACATTTTTTTCAGTAAATAACAAACAATTTATGATTTTAAGTGTTATGTTTGAAAACAATTTAAATATTTTTGAAGACACTAACTAACGATAATTGTTATCCATTATATCCTTATATTAAACATTAATTTTATAGTGTTATAGTTAATGTTTATGCATATTATATCATTGGACAATACATTATAAAATCAAAATTATATTATACAGTGATCACCTGTTGTTAACCATAAATGTGTTTTTTAAGTATTAATATAAATTTTAAATATTATTATTATAAATAAATTCTAATTTTATTATAATTATATTTTAATTTTATTATAATTATATTTTAATTTTATATTTGAAGTTGATTTTTATGATTAATTATTTTTTAATTACTTATATTATTTGATTATTATTTACATATATAAGTAATTATAAATACATTAATAACATAAAAACGACAAAATTATATTTATTTACAAATGTTTTCAAAAATGATTAGTTTTGTATAATATTTGTTTAGTAAAATTTATTTAATACTACATTTAAAATGGACTTTTAAAATGTTTACACAAAAAATATCAATAAAACATTATATGTGTAAATGAATCCAATTCTTAGTAAAGTCTTTACTAAAGTGCTTGAAATTTAGAAATTATTGTTAAATAATTCAACAAAACTGTATTTAATACATGATTTGTTATTATTATTAATATTTCAGGTTTTATTTGCTAATATGTCTTAAATTTTACGAATTTTGAGTTTGTTTTAAAATATATTTATACTACATATTAATATTAAAATAGTACAATAATAAAAATAATTTTTATTACAAAAAAGCAATTTTTGTATTGCAAACAAATTTAACACTTGAAAGGTTTTAGCATTAAATATGATATTATTAATAACTTTTATAATGGATTTATGATTAATGAATTATTTTGTGCGAT